GAGAGAGAGAGAGAGAGAGAGTAAAGTTACGCACAGCTTACTGGCGGCAGCGTCATCGTTGGTGGCTCGAACGGCGGCGGTGTTGCTGCTGCCGCCGCCGCTGCTGTGGGGATCGCCCCCACGCCCACGGCTTCTGTCCATCAGCCTCTTGCCTCACCTCAGGCTTTGGTGTCTTCCCCTCTCGGAGGTGCCGTCTGCATTCGAATACAAGATTCGTCGTGCAGAACGAACCCGTTTTATTTAATGAGTGGGTCGTTTTATCCCGTAATTGAATTGGATTATATTTTATATTATTCTTATTACTATTACCTATTATGAAAAATTGTATTAATTTTCCTCTTAAGATTGTGATATTTATCCCTTTTAAAATTCAAACCTATTGACAGTTATAATGATGTAAATAAGTAACGATGTATTTAAATTTTCTACATTTTTAACTAACTATTAGTGACCGTGGTGAAAACCACAGCGCTGCCAAGAGCCTATGCAAAACACCATGTAGCTAAAACGAACAACTAAAGAAACATATATATACTTCCCACGTATTATTTCTTTTTTTTTTTTCTGGTTGAGTACAGTGTCGCATGAGATCGATGCCTCATACCATATCAAGTGGAGGACTTCACTGATAGCACCGATATAGCGCCCAGCTGCAGCAAAACAACCTCTCTCCGTCTTCGATGATATCTAAGAAGCAATGCGTCAAAGTTATTTAGCATACAAGCTAAGAAATAGCAGCATCAACCACGAACAGAGTTGGAAATGTATAGGGAAACAACATAAAAGGTGTTTCTTTTCGTAGTTGTTTCCAGTAATTATTTCACAGAGCTATCAGATATGCGACCCACTAAAGTTCCAACAGTGTTCTGCGAGAAGAAGACTCGTGCAGGCCATTGTATTGCTGTGAAACCTTATTGCAGGACGCACCGTATGCATTCCTACTGGAAAAAGGACCTCTTCCTGTTGCGTTCTAACCTAGCCTCCCTCTGCCATGAAGAACCAGAAAACGTCAATGAGAGAGTTCCATATAAAAACAACATTTGCAGAAATGATTTCCAAAGCAACAAAGTTCAGAAAAGGTTAGATTAAAACAGCAAATCTCCATGATTCATCCAAATTGCTGCTTGATCCCAAAACCTATTTTTCACCTTTTAAATGTACATATCACTGAATGCAGTATGAAAGCTATTTGCTTTGATCAGTTGATAGAGCATCAAAGCAGATTATAACCAACAACCGATGGTCGAATGAAAACATTTAAAAGTCCTTTTCTTCCAGATAGGGACTTAGTAGAACATGAATGATTAAGCAACCAACCACGATGCACGTTATAATTAGTGGCATGGCCTATCACACTAACTTGATCTGGCCATAATTCCCAGGATCAATTGGCTCTTTCACTCCAAAAACATCAGACGTAATAGCAGTAAGGTGTAAAGGATAATGTAGCCTCCCTAGGAGATAAATGTGGAAAATAAAGGTTTCATGATTATGCTCAATATTCTTAAGATGGCAGCTATAAGTTTGAGAACATGACCTACACAAAAGAAAAATGTTGCTTGCAGCAACTTATAGGGACAATATAATTCTGTAAAATAAATGAAATATCAAATATCAGGATGGATATTTGTGTCTTTTAGTTGCCCATAAAAGGGAAAAAGGACGAACTGTCTGCTTGTTGGATTGTTAATCTTATTAAAACCCCATTGCACAGAAGGCCTATCCCATACTTCCCTAAATCTAAGGAACTTTACCAAAAACTGTTCAATTAATAAATAAACCAAATGAAAGCACACATCACTTGCTCCCGCAATTGATGAAATTGTCCAATTCTTGAACTGTAATTGGGTTGTGTAGTTTTGTTAGGTCAGATATAAGATGCTGCTTTAGTTGTCATAAATCCAAAAAACACCGAAGATCATACTAGGGTATTTACTTGGTTTGCAATCAATAAAGAGGATGAACAAATGCCAAATCGCTGGTTATTTGCTTTAGAGAGAAAAGCAAGACATTGTAGAAGTCAAAAAACAAAAGTTTTGAATTATATTCATTTTGCATATGACATGAGCGAAGAAACTACATTTGTTCTTTAAAATTTTGGCCTCAGAATTACTTAAAATGTCTAGCAAATTTATTATTAAAAATGGATACCTTGTAGGGGTTAAAATTAGAAATTTGTTAAATTTTTAATCAGTGGCTTGAGCTATGAGAATATGCCTAATCTACATAGTTGCCTCACGACATTTTTTGTTGCCACAATTCTCATGGATGGTTTAAGAGAAAGAGATGGAATCTACAAATGGCCTTTATACCAACAGCTTCTGATATTCATGGTTCTCCAACTGATGCCAAAAAAAAGTGTGAACAAAGAGAAGAAATGACAAACCTCTTTCTTTTTGCACTCTTTATAATAGTCAAATTCCTGCTGACATTTGCTCTTGTCAGAATTATCCTCGAGACCTAAAAATAATACCTCAATGATTAACAAGGTAAAAAATGGAGGCCAAACAAAAGGTACTGTAGAGATAGGATAGTGCAGATAGCCAAAGAAAGATTTAAAAAACTTCTTCCATATTGTTATAAAATGCTTCCTATAAGAAGTTTGTATTAATAGCTAATATAATAATACTGTTTATCAGATGTAACCTTGTGAAACCCAAAAAAGTAAAGTCCTTTTTCTTTTGACACATCTATAAGTCTGGTCTTTTACATGTTCACTCTTGACAAAGGTATCAGTCAAAAGGACTACTTGTCCCCACTGCTTCCATTGAAGGCATACCATTCCCAACGATTTTAATAATTCTCAGCAAATTAAGAGATATCATCTTTTATGCCATTTGGATGTGCCTTTTCCTAGCCAAAACCACACACTTCCTTTACCACATGGTACCTTATCAAGAGCTTGAAGAAAATTCTAACTGAGAACATTCTGTATGGCTGCCACCTTTTATATTTGTACTTTTATGAACCTTGAGCACCTAGAGAAGTGCTTTTGTTTGCAGATTATCGGTGTGTGGTTGTGGTTGACGAAATTGATTTTATGAGAGTGAAAATCGGACATAGATGTTACTGACCCTTGCAAAAAGCAATCTTCATATAAAAGTGGAATCAAAAGTTGCATGTAAACAAGACTTGGGTGGAATCAAAAGTTACAATCTTCCTGTAAAAGTCAGAATGATGAGGACGTAGTAGAAGTTAGTCTTTGGAATAAACAATTCAGTGAAATTAATGAAAGGTTAAATGAGAAAGTCTCCTCTGAGCAAAGAAAGCTTGAATCCATCTGGGAAGAGGAAGAGGTGGAAATGAACAAACGCTCCAACAGGAAGGAATATAAGGCCTCTAGAAAAACCACAGCTTGTGAAGCCTGGACTCTCATTGCTCTTACAGTTGAGGTCTACAGAATGAGTGTATGCATAGAATATGCAGAACTTAAAACTTTCCTAGACAAATTTAAGATTCATATGCTGTAGTTTAAATCTTGAACGCTTAATTGAGAACTTGATTGGTAGTTATGCAGGCTTTTTATTAGTCAGTTGGTTGGAGTTTATAGTATTTTATTATTTTTTTACGTTTTAGTAGGTTAACAACAAATATAAAATAAACTATGAAGCACGGACACCTAAAATGATTGACAAGCCAATGCCATATCCATGTTGGATAATTGTTGGAAACTGCAAATAAACCTATATCATCACATTATTTACGTAAATATATGGAACATGTGTGGAACAGGTATACCAATGTCCTGGGTATTTTAAGTACGAAGCTAATGCATTTTGCATTTTTACCTAACTAAATATGTACATAATTTCCTGAAAATTGTGTATGCTTTAAAGGATCTTGTGAGTAAATTGTTTTTTATGTGATCATAATTCATAAATAACATACATGATAGTCATAAATCATCTAAATTTTATTAAATAAATCCTTATATACAGAATTATATAAATTTATAAAGATGTATATTTGTCTCTGGCATCCTAATTTTTAAATAGTCATCAGGTTTGGGAATCTAAATTATGTCTTGTTCATGTCAACACCCTCCCACCGATATACTTTACAATTAAAGGAATATCATCCAAGGCTACAAGCTAGTCCCATAGTTTCATAATCCTCAAGGGTAATGAATAAGGGGTTTCAGATACCTCAAAACCTTAATGGACTAAAGTTATGATCGTAGGATATGGCTTTTATTCAGATGCCACTGTGTTCAAATGATTGTTTCTTCAGAAAAAAAAAGAAGTGGAGAATGGTGTATCAATCTTTGAGTAACAGATGAATCACATGACTGTCAAGTAACTTCTACAGAAGCTAAGCACTAGCCTACGCTTGTTGCATGGAGTAATGTAAGAAAATTTAGGCCTAACACTTAAGGTACAATCTAATACGGGTAGCACCTAAGAGTTATAAGTCTTAAGTTTTCTCAGGGATTCCACCATGGAAGAAATCCCAAGTTTTTCCTTATGCATCAGCGCAAGTCGTCTAGACTTTGGAAGCCAGGGTCCACATCGACATACAGTTTTAGGGCAATCATCCAAACGAAACAAGAACCTCATAATTCTCGCAAGCACCAGCTCAAATCTGCCAGATTGTTTCCATCCACCTTCAGAGACTCGAGTACAGGGACAAGGGCCATTGCCGTGCGCACAACAAGATTCAACAGCTGCGAGGGGCTATAGTGCAATAAAATATGCGCATACAAGTAGGTAGAAGATTCAACGGGAACAGGGAGACTCACATTTGAGGGAAGCGGTGTACTGGGGAAAGCAAGGCGAGTCGGCGAGCCTAGCAACGCTGGGATATGGCGAGGCAGAAGACGCAGGGAGAGGAGCGGAGGAGCCCGATGCGGCCATCGCGAAGGGATCCCACGGTTTGTGACCAAGAAAGGAACTGAACCGGATAGAATCGCGTTGGTTTTGATTAACCAACAAAGAAACGAACCGGATCGGCCCAATGGCGTGATTAGGTTTGGTTCGTTTATCCGCTCGGTTTGCTTACAGACACAGCTGTATCGAAAGAACAAATCCCTAGGCTCTTATTGTTCTCCGGCATTTTCTTTACCCCAACCGCGGTTGCGGGCACTACTCTGCCCCGATCCATCGTCGCCTCATTGCGGATCACAACCCTTCTCGGCCTCGCTCCTTCGAAGAAGTGAAGTCTCTCTCTCTCTCTCTCTCTCTCTCTCTCTCTCTCTCTCTCTCTCTCTCTCTCTCCGTCCAATTACATATTTGTCATGGTATGATCTGAAAGTTGCCTCTTTCTTCATCCCTTGCTATTGGTTTCTTGATTTCTTCCGGATCCGTTTGTGTAGTGGCAATGAGACTGAGGCGTTGGGGGGGAAGTTGGGATTTTTTTTCCTTGTTCACTTTTTACTTACATTTTTACATTGGATGATTAGAATCAGGAAGTGTTCGATGCATGTTTTTTTTTTTTTTTTTTTTGTCTTAGTTCCTCAAGTCTCCCGAATTTTGTGCAATAGTCTCTCAACTCTGTCAATTAGTAGAGCATTTTTTCCCTTTAAAGATATTATTTTTCTCTTACGTAAACAAAGCATATCTACCATCTATGTCCTTCATCTCTCCTGACTAGTATTCTTATTGCCAAGTCATGTTGATTTGGAATGGACCTTAGGTTACTAAGGGTCTCTCCATGGGTTAGACTGGGTTTAATTGACCAGAACTAGAGAAAAGTACATGGAGGGACTTATGTGAACAATAGCTTCTAACTAGAGTTATCCGTCTTTGACTAAAATGTTTATTTGATCAGTGGCATTTGTTAGTGATTTCAGTTGTCACTTGCTTATTGATATTCACTTAAATATAATATTCATTGTCTATATTCTCTATTGGTTATCCATAGGTTTTTGACACTTCCAGTTGTAGTACTTTAGGATTCAAGTAAGTGATTAAAATTACTGGGTTTTTAGTATTTCCCATGATTATAAGTGCTGCTTTTTAATTTTTGATCTAATTATTATTTTTTAGAGTAAATAGTTGTCAGTGCATTGAAGGACTGGGAGGCTAGAGTTCGTAATGGGTAATAAGGTCTTCTCCAAGTATCTAGACATTAGTTTGATGGACTTAATTTTTTACACTGTATTTTAATTAATTCTGGAATTGAACGAAGAAGAGCTTTGTAGTTGCTTTCCTTGTAGGAACTCTACTTCTGGTATTTGCTAAGAGATCTGTTATTCAAATTGTTTTTCACATGGTATATCTTAAAGACATGTTGTAGGGTTTGATTAACCATTTAGTTGAGTATTAGAGTTGAGAGAATTGATTTTCACATGGTATATCTTAAAGAGATGTTGTAGGACTTGATTAATCGTTTAGTTGAGTATTAGAGTTGAGAAAAGGATTTGGTTTTGCAGTTTGATATGGCTACCCTTCGAAATCTGAAGATCAAGACAGCAACTTGCAAACGCATCCTTAAGGAGCTTCAGTCTTATGAGAAAGAAGTTGACAGAGAAGCTGCCAAAACTGCTGATATGAAGGAAAAAGGTGCTGACCCTTATGATCTTAAGCAACAGGTAGTTTGCTATAATTTATGTTTTTGTGTTTTTACAACTTTCTCTTCTCCATCATTTTGACACAATGGTTTGCAGTCTGTAGTTATCATAGAATTTTTAAAAGTGTTGAGAATCACTCGTGACTCGGCTCTTTCTTATACGTTAGCAAGCACTTTGTGTTTGCTACAACTCTCTTTTTCATCATTCGATACAATTGTTTGCGGCCTCTAGTTATTATAAATTTTGTATAAGAGTGCTGATCAAGATTTGTCGTACTGTGGTGTATCGCTCGGTATGGATGATACGTATTGGTCCGATAGGAAACTAGTACATGCGGTACATCGGTATATCCCCATGTACCATGTGTCGGTACAGCTCAGGATATATCGTATCGACAACTTGTGGGTACATCGGTACAGACCACTAAGACGAACCATGGTGCTGATAATCATTCATCTCTTGCTTATACACAAGTCAACACTCTCCTTTATGACAATAGAAAACGTTTTGTATCTTTGAAATGTGGTTTTCTCCAATATACATGCTTTTCCAATTGTATCTTAGACTTTCTTTGCATGCTATCACTTTACTATGATTACAAGCGTGGATAATTAGATTTGTATTTATATATGAATCTTTTATGTTGTGCAGATTTCATTGTCATTTAATGATTATTAAGTGTTTCTTTTTCTCACTTACACTTAGACTTGAACATTGATTCTATAGTAAATCTTTTATTTTCAAGTGTATGTCAACTCCTTCAATGTATTCTGGATGAGCTTAAACTGCAAATTAGTCCTGTTATCCAACTTACCTTTTAGATCACTTATTAAGCTTGTTAATATCATGAAGTTCTGCTGAATATTTTGTGGAGCCTACTCAACCGGATTTATGCCCCATAGTCAACCACATATAAATAGGAAGTTCTGTGACTATCAGCTATTATATTGGTTCTTCTTTGTAGAATGCACCCAATATTTTTGTGAAATTGATGAGGATCCTATTGTCTTCATCAGGCAATTGTGGTCTATATTGCATAATCAAAAGTTTAATTTTCTTCTTCCAATTCTCCCGCATAGCAACTTTACATGGTCTTCCAGAAAGTGGTCTTGCAACATATTGGCCAAGAATGATATTTGTTGGCTCCAACACAAATGTCCAACTTTTTTCATAATTTCCTCAGACATCTGCTTGGTTCAATCTAATGGATGCATGTGCTCCTCTGCAGCCTGAAACATTACTTTCTCAGTGCAAATAATATTCCAGATGGCACAGACCCAATTTTCATCACTATCACCAATCAGATCAAACGATCTCCTACTCTGACATCACCTGAGACAGAAATGATAAAACAAGACTGCATGTGCCCCCTAAATGATACCCCTTGAAGAAGAAAATTTAATTGAAGATGAATCATATTGTCATTTTATGGGTTATTAGGTTGACATATATTGTTCTGCAAGATAAAAGATACCCAAGAATATTCCCAACTGAAACACCAAGCTAGAAAAACCCTATCTTACTAATTAAAATTAAAAATATATAAAACAAGGATATTAAATTCATAAAATCTAAAATTTACATAAATAAATATATAAAAAATTCTTAATGTGCTGAAATTAGATGCACTGCATCCTTAGATTGATTTTTCTAGTTTCCCAAAATGACCTGTAGTTTTGAATTTATAGATGTATTCTTCTGGTTTCTTAATTTCGCTGTGATCTATTTTAGGTTTTAGAGGATATTTGGTGTGGACAATTTCTTAAACATTGAAAAGACTGTGATCCTGCACTTGAGCGATGAAAGATCGATTTAGACATTAAAGGGAAAATATCCACACTAAAATCCAATTGCTAAAACAAAGACTTCAATGCTGGTTACCAACTCTCTTAAACTGTAGAAAATATTATGTACTTATAGAGCTACATTTCCCAGGACTTTAAATTTGATGCGAAATATATGGTTGAGTTTATTATGAAAGGAGCAGTTAGTTTTTTCCTTACACTTGAACTGCATAGTTGACCTTGGAATGAGACCAGGCTCACACACATGCTGATTGACTCGATCTGACTCATTTGCATCAAATCCTTGACTAACGCATTGTTTCCGATGAGCAGGAAAATGTCTTGGCAGAGTCGAGAATGATGATTCCTGATTGCCACAAACGACTGGAAGCTTCCCTTGCCGATTTGAAAGGAATATTGGTAAGTTGAACTTTATATTAAAATATGAGATAGTGCTGCTAGTCTTGTTGATTAAACCTCTTTAATACTCAATGTATCGCAGGCGGAGATAAAAGAATCAAACCAGCAAGGGGTGGAGATAGAGGAAGCTGATACCATCATCGCAGATGTAGAAGCTTTTTTTCAGGCAGCAGACGCTTAGAAGTCAGAACAACAAAAAGAAGTGCTTGTACTCCGGATATTGTCTAGTGTTGATTGCCTCGAAACAACTTTTGCTTGTCGAGTTCTACATTTTCTGAAACTTGAGCTTGTGTTGTAATCTTCCCAGGAATCTGTTCACCGCTGGGAAGATGCCCATGAAAACTTTGGGTGTGAATGTTTGTGCAAAAGCTATCTATCTATCTATCATTTTTGGTGAATCTTAGCAATCACAATCTGCTGATTTCTGTGCACCAAAAGGAAGGCCACATGCTTGCAAATTTTACTGTGTGCACTCTTGCGATACATATCACACACTTACAATGCGTATCACACTTCAGATGACAATGGCGAATAATACATCAGACAATCAAGTCCTATCTAATACGAAAAACAAAGCAAAACCGCACGAATCACGATGCGCAGCTCCAAAGTCAAAAGCTTCACCCCTACTCGTGCGAGGCGACCGCCCGACTTTATCTGGAGTCATTCTCAAAGGCCGAAGCTCGACTTGATCGCATAGAATGCTGCCCAACCTGATCGTATTTGGAGCAAGTTGGTTGACCAAGCCTCAAGGATAAGCTTAAAAATGTCTCTTTTCTAACTTTAAGATTCGTTCACCTGCATCAGATCGCAGCCATCTGCACAGTTTCACGTCATCTACGCTGCATATTTGAATCGGTCAAAGCTCGCGACCCCACCCTAGTTTGTCGACGAGTACGGCGTAGATGAGTTGACAAATCGTTGTCGGGAGCCGGTGAATTGTTGTGACGAGATGACTGCAATTTGGTTTGGATGAAGCGCATCCTAGTGGTAATAAAGTGGAATTTAAAATTAGCCTAAACTTTGGAATTCACCTTTTTCTTTAAGAAGATATCTCTCAGCATTATCAAATCGTGGTCTGAATTAATTCATCGATAATTTAATTTTAAATATTATAAATAATTTTAATTCGATGAGATTTTTTTCGATTTGATTAATCGATTTAAAATGAATCAAATTTATTTTAATTTAAAAAATATCAATACAATTGTGTTTATTATTTTAAGCCTTTAGTGATTCAAATACTCAATTTTCATATTATAATTTCATAAATCTTATTTCATTAACCTAATTGAACTAAGATTCTGATTCGATTCAACCAAATTGAATTGGTTTATTTGAAATATATATATATATATATATATATATATATATATATGTATGTATGTATGTGTATTTATGTATGTATATATATGTATGCATATATATATGTATATATATGTATATATGTATTTGTATGTATGTATATATATGTATTGTATATATATATACATATTAAATTATAAATTGATTAATCGAATAAGATTAACCCATTTTTAACTGTTCTATTTGATAAATTCAAATCGACTTTTAGTGCTTTAAATGATTGTTGTGGTCAAACATCTCCTTAATCCAACATATCCTACCTAAGCAAATGTGTGATGCATGTCAAACATATCCATTCGGAAAACAAATGTTTCAGAAAACAAATGTCAGATCGCATGATGTATCAAACATATGTTGTGGTCAAACATATCCATTTCTGAAAACAAATGTCAAATCGCATGATATATCCTACCTAAGCAAAATAATTCATAATGTATGATGTATCGAGACCTTTGATGCTGTATAACCAGGCAAGACATTTCGATGCATTCATTCAACTCATATAAATTAAATCAAAGTATATGTTATATCTTAATTAATTAAAATATATTTTTATATATGATATATTTGCCTAACACATAAGCATCAAGACATTTAATGCTACCTAACCGAATAAAGTATCATATCTATGCAACATAAATAACAAAGTATTTATCATATCATAATCAAGTAAAACATTTTTTGATTTACGAAGTATCTATCCTATATCATAACAAAGTATTTATCATATCATAACTGATCGAAATGTCTCTTAACCACTATTTTATTTGATGCAAGCAATAATAGTCGATGTCCCAAGATAAACATTGCGTTCTTGTTCATACAATACCTTACACTAAAGCATAACAAGAGACAAATAATATGGTAATTATTTTCGATCACTTAGGATCAATTGGATATGACATATCAACATAGCCTCTAAGGATATTTTTTTTTGTCATGACTCCTCTAGATAATTACAAAAATAAGTATTATATAAAATTAAACTTTTCGTATATTATTTTTATTTATAATTTATAATTATTAATTTGATCATTAAAGGATCTCACAATAAGGCAATCCAAGACTTGAATCTGAATATTGTTACTGGGGGTAATCATGGATATTTTTAAAATCAAAGATCCCCTTCCACAAATTCTTTTCACTTAAGTGAAAGGCCATTGTTATTGAAATACAACAATATAATTACAAATATATATCATACATATAGGCATAGCGTAGGCCTTGTTTATTTTAGTTTATATAGATTTTGTTTTACTTCAGGTTCAACAATTTTTCCATCAATTCCATAAAATCAAGTTAAAATATATGGAATATCAAAAGATATAAGATAGAAAGAAATGGAATTCAGACAATTTTTATCCTATTTTTTCCCACGCCACAGCACAGCTTTAGAAGTTTTAAAACCTGTGATGAAATTAGTACGATAAGGAGCATAATCTTATCTTTTCAGAATATGTAAACTTTAAAAAGCAACTATAAAGATAAGGAAGACTCGACGAACTTATGAATCTTTGACTTCTATACTCTTCAACTAATGTGAGATTAAATAACTTTATTATTTAGATTGACATTAACCGTATCGATCTATCTACGTATCATTACAATATATGTCTTAAGCATAATTATGATCAAGTCAACGTTTTTTGAGAACGTGAGTTTGATCAAGAAGTCAAATGTGCTTCTATGTCGACAGATCAATTATCTGAAAGGGTGGAACGACGGACGTGTCAGGCTAGAATTAGACCTGCTGGCACAGCAGCAGTAGTCAAAGTGTAATTTTTCCTCAACTCGAGTAGCAGAATTTTATTTTCTTAAAAAAATATATTTTTATTATGATGTATATGCCGTTCACAAATGGACTGAGATTTATCACCGGTATAATATTACATTAATCTATGTGTCGATAGAGACGATTTGATAGCAAATTGATAGTGGTCTTACGAAGAACAATAATTTCAAATCTTAAAGAACATGGGATACGCTCCAATCACACTTTTACGGGGAGCATTTCAAATCCTTCATCAGAACCGTCCATTAATTCGATGTTTGATGGGACGATTTGACAGATTTAAATGCTAATCAAAGAATACGGAAGCTCGTATATCTTAATCGCGACAGGGAACACAATTCTCCACCTACGTATATGACGTCATATAGAGCAGATCTTATAAGAAGAGACACCTATTGTGTACAACCTCATGTAAACAACAAATCGGATAACATTTTGAAGTAAATTTTTTTAAATTTGAAATAAATCATAATATATATTTTAAAATAATATTTATTTATTATTTATCAAACACTCAAAGTATTTTATAATTATATATTCAATTAAATTATTTTCTATAAATACATATTAAAAATGTTTTCAAATAAAACCATCATCTCACCACCTTCATTGAAGTAATTGATTTGTATATTAAATTACAAACTAATTACCTCTCAAAATAAAAGTTTTGCTATAGATATTCAATTTAAGTAGATTCAAAAATCTATTAATTTTTATAGGACTGAGAATACAAATTTAGAGATACCTTTTCTAGAAATAAATATGAATGGAAATTTAACACCTAAGGAAACACTATATATGAAGCTTCTTATATTTTTAATTAATTAATTTCACTAGATGCACTTAACTAGGCGGTGCCACAATATAATAATATTTATTATTATTTTGATTAGTATCCCTTTTTCATTTATTTATATAAAGTGTTTCTTATCTTTTAAAAGATATAATTACCCCTCATCTTTTATCTTTATTTCGTTAGTCGTTATCTCTATCTTTTATCGTTGTTTGTCATCTCAGCCTTTCGCGAAGTTTTACGGTTCTCGCATATTCTCCCTTCTTTATTTGTTAATCATTGTCCTTGCTCTATCTCACGGTTGTTATCCTCCTCACTCGCATGCTCTTTTCGTTGTCGTTGAAGATCTAATATAAGTTCTCATGACTATCATAAGTGTTAAAGGAGATGTTGACTAGTTGAATTTAACTTTAGGCTCAAACCCATTCCTGACTCCTATCATTGTCTTATTCTTATACATGTTCAACAGATACATGCATGATGGGAGTGAATGTGACTCGACAGAAAAAAGCTAACGACAGGACAAAGACGACGATCGATAAGGAAGAAGCGAACCGTAATTTCATCTTTTAAGAAAAAAATATTTTGTAAAATAAATAAAAATACTAATTGAAGAAAAAATAAAAAAATAAGAAATTGCCCATATATGAAGGTTTTATAATTTAATTGATTTATTTATTGTACTAGATGTATTTAGGTCCCCAGTACATTTCCCCAATACACTCGTCCCAGTTTGTACCTTATGGTGCCGCAGGGCAATACCCCATCTATGGGCCCCGCAGTGTCCGTGCTCGAATCGCGTAGGACGACAGAGTTTTTGGACGGGATCCGAGGCGCGCGTGTTTGTATTTTCCAGAACATAAAAAAAGAGACAGCCAATAGACGTCAACGGGTCGCGTCAACTCCGCCACTGCGTTCCGTCATCTGCTTCTCCTCCTCCCTCCGTCTCCTCCGTTCCCATCTTCTCCACCGACGGGCGCTCCCTCCGAGCCTCTTTCTTCTCGATCAGATCCGTCCGCCTCATCATGTTCGGGCCGTATGCAACGATGATGCTGATTAATTGTTCCCACTGCCACACCCCGCTGCAGCTCCCGCCGGGGGCGTCGTCCATCCGATGCGCCATCTGCAGGGCCATCACCTACGTGTCCGATCCCCGGAGCGTCCACATGCCTCCTGGGGCTCCTCATTCCCTTCCGCCTCCGGGCCCCGCCCCGCTCCCGCCGCCGTCCTGGGGGCTAGCGCCGCCGCCGATGCCGGGCGGCGGTCGGCGGAAGAAAGCGGTGATTTGCGGGATCACGTATCGGAACACGCGGAGCGAGCTGAAGGGGTGCATAAATGATGCCAAGTGTATGAAGTACCTCCTCATCAATCGCTTCGGCTTCCCCGAGTCCAGCATCATCATGCTAACTGGTACTACTACCATGATCTTTTCTCCTCTTTCAGGCCATCATTAACGACAACCGTAGATCTCTCAGAATTTGGATGGTTTGGTTCCAATCACTAATATAAGCTCCGTCTATATTTCTTATTTCTATCCTAGAAATTGAAGTCAACTATATGAAGCATGTTTGCAGACATAGCGGCAAACATGCAATTTCTCTAGAACTTAAACTCTGGATTAATTGTGGATCTAGCAGACATTACATATCAATTACCCAAGTAATTCACTATAGAACACCCGGTCATTATTCCAAAACAAAAAAAGGAAAACTATAGTTGACATTTAAGCCCATGTTAAATTTCAGGGCATATACTTGTACTTGATAATCCAGTGCTTACTTGTTACATGGAATTGATGTATCTTGTTTTTTTCCCCAAGATGTGAGATTTTTTTGAACAATTGAAAGTTTGTTCACAACGAAAAGTATAGTTCATTTTTTCAGTCAGACTTTGGGTTTGAGTATCTATGATGTCGAGTTTGCATCCTACATCTTCGACTTTTCTAACCTGTTATAATTTGGAAGCTGATTTGCAGAGGACGAAAGAGATCCATACAAGATTCCAACCAAACATAATATAAGAATGGCAATGTATTGGCTCGTACAAGGTTGTCAACCAGGTGACTCTTTGGTATTCCACTACTCTGGCCATGGTTCACAACAAAGAGACTACAGCGGAGAAGAAGCAGACGGCTATGATGAAACTCTTTGTCCTGTGGACTTTGAAACACAAGGAATGATCGTCGATAATGAAATTAATGCAACCATGGTCAGGCCGCTTCCTCGTGGAGTTAAGCTTCATGCTATTATAGATGCTTGTCACAGTGGCACTATGCTAGATCTATCTTACCTTTGCAGAATGAACAGGTCAGTGATGTATATTAAGGTTGTCATGATTATATATTTGTTTGTAGAAAAAAGCTTCTTTTTCCTTTATTTCCTAGTTTCTGTGCCAGTGATATTTGTTGTACTGCATTTCCTTCAAAGGACTTTACTATTTTTCCCATGAGCCATGAGAATTATGTGCTATCTCTGTTACTATCTCTACATCGATCTATCATATTAAACTAAAACTTACGATATCATTTCTTTTCCACAGTCAGCCATGTTTCTTTTTAAAATAAATCCATCAGTATTCACTCTAGTCTTCTCAATGTTAGAAATAGAAACAAGAGCAGAGAAGTGGCAGTGAATTGATGATTATTATAGTTTATTCTGTGAAAAAACTCCAAACCTTTTATATTGGATTTCTGCAATATATTGTTCTCATCAGATCGTTCTCAAATAAATGTGGGATAATTTCTTGAAGTATATGATAGTTTAGCCTATTTACAAAATAAATGCTTCTAGGATGCGAATGTCAAGGGACAATGTGTTATTTTGAATTATTTACAAAATAAATGCTTCTAGGATAGTTGGGTCACATTTCATGCATAAATCAAGGAACACTATGTTTTTTTTTAACATTGATCTTTTAATGATGGACAAGATGAATATATGATTAAATATATTGCTTCATGTAGTTTGCATTGAGCATCAAATTGTAGTTAATGATTAATTGATGGTTTTGTCATTACAGGTCCTTGTTACCTTTTCTTCAGTTTTCAAAAAATATGTTATTTGTCAGGATGCCCGTTAATAGATATGTATTGATTTATCATGACTTATGACCAGATATTTGAAAACTCTAAACAAATGTGAAGATTTTCCACACATTATATTGTAATTAAGATTCCTTCTATTGCCATATTTACTGCATATCATATCCTACAAGATTTGATGCAATGGCATATCCACATCATGTCAAATGGGTGTCCTGAAGCATTGCTTCATAGAATTTCATAGATGCCTCCATCATATATTTGTTTTATTTTTCTAAGTCTATTTCCCTTAAACATATGCAGTTTAGAATTCAGGCCATGCCCAAAATTTTGATCCCTTTATGCTGAATGCTGAATCTTGGTATCTTGAGTTTTATAACTCAGACAAGTCTGATTTATAGATGTACTGCATGTCCTAAATCCTGGACCTGGATATTATATTGGAAGGGTGGGGCCAAACTGTTTTGGAAAAATAAGTGCTTGTCTAATTATAATGGCTTCGCATTATCAGATGCAGCATGTTGTTTGAGTCACCTCTATTATGGTCGAGCTGTTGGTGATTTGTTTTTCCAATCTAATAAATTAAGATAACAATTTCCATATAATGATATTACTTTGGGACTAAATCAAGGTTTCTTTGGGTTCAAGGATTTCATATTTTCCTGGAAGCATATAAACTACTAAATCATGTCAACCAAATAATTCAAAATGTTGGCTTCTTAGAACTTTTTCTTTATAATCATACTGGTAGATTGTTGGGTGTTGGTGGTAGGATTTAGCTTATATCTATTTTAGCTGCCTTTCCCCCATTATTGGTGAGAGATGAATGCTCAACATAACTAAGGAGATTCAACAGTTTTATCTGTGGTTTCTTCTCTTATCATAATAGCTTGTCATATCTAATTACACATTTTGGCTTTGTATATTTGAGCAATATCTGATATCTGTTTTAGCTGCCTTTCCCCCATTTTTGGTGAGAGATGAATGCTCAACATAACCAAGGAGATTCAATAGTTTTATCTGTGGTTTCTTCTCTTATCATAATAGCTTGTCATACCTAATTACACATTTTGGCTTTGTATATTTGAGCAATATCTAGAACACCATCTCCTCTCTTCTGTAGCATGTGTATGGATGAAAACATATGATGCCAATTTTAGTATTATTCTATCTGTGCTTCAAAATGCCTGAGAACATAGAACCTAAGAAAGAAAAAAAGGAGAGATTATCAAAGAAGATATGTAATAATTATGTCACAATCAGCGTCAAGTCTACATCATTTTCCAACTTGAAAAATTCTCAGTCAACTGATTCTTCTCTTCATTATATGTTGCTGATCACTTCAGTGACATGATGCATTTTTATTTTGCATGTGGCAGTGGAACAGGTTGCATCCTAGTGATGATGGTAATTGGCTATAATTTTCTCAACAAACAAAAAGCATTTGGCCCTTGTGAATTTTTGTCTCAGTGATATGTTAGCTAATTTTCTTCACTGGTTTAGGAGTGGGCAGTATGCATGGGAAGATCATCGCCCAAGAAATGGTGCTTGGAAAGGTACTAGTGGTGGAGAAGTCATCTCATTCAGTGGTTGCGATGATGATCAAACTTCTGCAGATACCTCGGTAAACTTTCATTGCTTGCATCTGTAGTCAATAATTAGGTTAAGCATGGGTTTCAAAGCCATTAAATCCTTAGTGAGAGCTTTAATAAGTGCCAAATCCAAATGAATTTTTTAAACCAGTATGTTTCCAACCTAAATTGTCAATATATTCTGGAATCTTACTTGAGTGCAATAACTAGTTGATTTTTCAGGAGGAATTAGTTAGCTGGAACTTCCATTTGATTAGTATGCCAAAAAACCTGATTTTGTCTTTGAAAGCTGGGTTGAATTGTATGTTAAGTGCCCTTCTCTAAAAATAATATACTTAAGAGCCCTTGTCTAAAAATAATCCCTGAAATTAGAGATTACTAGCAGTGAATGACCCTTCAGTCAGATACTACATTTTAGAACTGACACCATGCAAACTCAGTGCTCAGTTGATTCTGTCTCAGAGAAGCAGTTATTGTTAACTTATTTGCTACGGTTGCAGTTTTTGAGTTTCGTCGCTAGAACCATGTAACTTGCAACTGGTAATCTTTTTATCAGGTTGTTTCTTCTACTTCTAATTAAAAATGTCAACCTTGTCTACTTTAAGAAATCTTTAGCAATGAACTGACCAAGATTAAATTCAATAGAGGAGACAAATTGAGAAGTGAAAAAGTTTTTTCCCATATTCATATTTTGATTCTACACAGTCTCTTGAATTTATGGGTGCATCATTCTGCATAGGTAATGGTTCTGTGATGAAACCAAATCTGTACTAATATTTCCTTGTGTACCACATTTGCAGGCTCTGTCAGGGATTACCTCTACTGGTGCCATGACTTACTGTTTCATCCAAGCCATTGAGCGAGGACATGGGACAACTTATGGTAGCATACTGAATTCGATGAGATCCACCATAAGAAGCACTGGCGATGCAATTTCCGGAGGGCCCGTCACTTCACTCATCACCATGTTGTTAACTGGAGGTAGCATGCCTGGCACACTGAGACAGGTATGTTCTTGTTACTGCAACACACATCACAAATGAAGCATGAGATCTGACAAATGCAGATTTTAGGCAAAACTTTCCTAACTCAAGTTTTGTTGCAGGAGCCGCAGATGACATCCAATGAAATGTTCGATGTTTATGCAAAACCATTTTCTCTGTAAAGTGTATCTTCTCTCTTGCACTTGAAGTGTCTTCTGTTGTCATTGATTTTGCACATGTTTTGCTTCATTTGACTGACATTGAGAAACATCTTATGAGGGTTTATCGATTTCTTTGACATCGGTGTGTAGGATTTTTCTTCTATAAATATGACATTTCTTTCTATAGCATGCATAAAAGAAGACTACACCTATGCATGGACTCATTAACATAATGAACTAGGATTATTGTTCATCTCAAATTGAGTTGGGTTATAGTCTGATATTTGTATGTGCATGCCAGTGTCCATATGCTGTATAAATTCAAAACCCACTAGCAAATGCCAGCCAGCTTTAATATCATTCTTTATGGGGGTTTGATGCTGTGTGATGCAAGATACCAAAAAAAAGGGAGAATTCATGAGAAAACAAACAATTATTATAGAGATTGTTAGCTGCTCATAACAAAGATTTGAGGGCATCAAAAGGAATCAACCACTTCGACTGAGGATCTCCATCGAACCTCATTTTAATGTAAATCAATAAGGCTCAAATGGCTGGGATTAATAAGTATTTTGAGAATTTTGAATCTAGTGTCCAAGGATAAGCAATCCTAGTAGGAGGAGTCATTGTAAAAGAAAAATATTAAGAATTTGGATGTGGTTTGGTTATAAATATTATATGTGTATATAGATTTTGGAGAGAACAAGATGTTAGAAATACTTTGTACTCCGTACGTTTGAACTCTACGGTACTTAGAGAGAATGCTACTTAAGAATTTTAAAGAGGATGAGAGAAAGGGTATAAATTCTTTAAAATTTATCGAGTGGGTGCATAAAGAAATTACGTTCGAGCGAAAGTAACTCAAGGGGCAGACGAAAATTACTTAATTACGTTTAAGTCTTGAATCAACCTTTTGGTATGTTCTTGATTATTTAATTTCTTTTACTTTTAAAAGTCTTCTCCTTCTAACACAAATAATGTATAAAGCACAAATAATTAGTAAAGTTTTGTTCAGGGGGATTCGTAAAGAAAATAAAAAAATTAAGTGGGTATAAATGGAAAAAATGGCTCACCGGAGAAATTATTTTTCATCATTTATTTTTTTATTAAAAAAATAAATAATGAAGACGATCTTACGATAAAATATTAAAAAAAATTATTAAAAGAAATTTATGAGATATTTAATGCTCGAGTAAGCTTTTTGAGGATTTTATTTGAGCTCATCGGCTTACAAGGCTAAGTATGTGGGCCATTCGACTGGGCTAAAGCTCACATAACACCACTACGTTCTATGAAGGCGATTGCCCACTGTTCTATTACGCCCATGCTTCAGCTTTGCACGCATGATCAAGGCGGGCCTCACCACTCCCTCCGTCCGCTCCTTTAATCTCCTCCTCTCCTTCCTCCTCTTCGAAGCTCGCAAGCCCCACCTCGTCCTCCGTCTCTTCTCCCAAATCACCTCCAACTCGCTCCCCGTGGACCCCCACACCCACTCCCTCGTCGCCAGCACCGCGCCCGCCCTCGTTCGATCCCGCAGCTTCCACGATGCATGTCGCTTCATCTCCCGCGCTCCTCTAGACTTCGGTTTTGCACCCAGGAGATCCCTTGTCGAATCCCTCATCCGTCATATCTGCGTCGCCGAACGAAATCCGGACGGAGCCCTCTGTTTCCTGCAAGAGTGCGTCCGGAACCGTGGTGTCTTTCCCTCCCCCGGCTCCTTCCGCTCGGTGGTTGTGGCATTCTGTTATCTGGGTAGGTTGGATAGAACAGTCGAGGTGTTGGAGGCCGCAGCTGATATGAAAGACCATATCTTGACCGACAATTTCGTTTGTAGTTCCATTATCTCCGGGTTCTCGAGGATCAGGGAGCCGGCGCTTGGTCTGGACTTTTTCGAAAGAGCAAGGAAAGTCTTTCTTCCTAATCTCGTCACCGTTACGACTGTGGTCGATGCACTGTGCAGGGAAGGTAGAATCAACGAGGCCTGCGATCTGGTTCGGATATGGAAGGCCAGGGAATGGCGCTCGATGCCGTTCTGTATAGCTGCTTGATTGATGGGTATCTGAAGAGAGGTGACCTGATGGAAGGTCTTCGGAAGCACAAACTCATGGTGGATAAGGGAATTACTCCAGATGTAATTGGTTATACTATCATCATTGATGGGTTGTGTAAAGAAGGAAATGTAGAGAAAGTGATCGGTTTTCTGGAAGAAATGGAGAGCAAAGGTGCGCATGCCAATGTGGTGATTTACACAGCTGTAATTCATGGTTTCTGCCGGAGGAACAAGTTGGAGGAAGCATTTTGTGCCCTGAGGAAAGTGGAAGAGTTGGTTTTTGTTGCGGTTGAGTTTGCATATTCTGTATTGATTGACGGATTATGTAGGAAGGGAGACTTGGATAGATTTTTTACTTTGCTTGAGGAATCGGAGAAGAAAGAGATTAAAGTTGGAACAGTGACATATAACACATTGATCAATTCCCTGTGTAAAGCTGGCCAAGCAAGCAAGGCAAATGAGATCTTAAAGGGCTTTACCGGTGATAATTTCACCTATGCGACATTGTTACATGGATACCTGAAGGAAATGGATGTGACATTGTTCGTGACATTGTTACTTGCAAAGTTGCAATGTCCTTATCAAGGCTTTGTTTATGGCAGGTATGATTCAAAATAGTTGTAAGCTGTTTGATGAATTACCTAAGATGGGCTTGTCTGCAAATTCAATTACTTATTGTACTGTGATTGATGGCTACTGTAAGGCAGGATTGATTGAAAGGGCACTTATAGTGTTTGACGAGTATCGGAGAGATTCCTTATTCGCTAGTGCTTCTGCTCATAATTGTATTATCAGAGGACTATGTAGACAAAATATGTTAGAAATAGCTCCAGCAGTTTTTGAAGACCTTGTTGAAAGAAACCTATCCCCCGATTTAATTACTTGTAGGATGCTAATTCGAGCTATTTTTGAAAAAGGTGATGGTGAAGCAGTGTTGAAATTTATTCACAGAATGGAGAAATTAGAACCTGAGCTTCTCATTTTGATATGCAATGATGCTCTTGTACTTTTATGCATAAAGGGATGTTTTTCCGGTTGCATTGGATGTATATGTTCTTTTGAGAATAAGATTCCCAGCGGTTATGAGTGTTAGGAACGAGTCGACACTAATAGGGGGGGTGAATTAGTGCAGCGGATAAAATTACGTCGGTTCAAAATCTCGTTGCGATTAAATCCGTTTCGGAAGATGTTAATTTAAAAGCATACGGAAGAGTGTAGTTGATGTAAAACAAGTAAGGTAGTTTGCAATTAAGGTAAATAGTAAAACAGAAATGCAAACCGAATTTATAGTGGTTCGGTCGTCGCGACCTACATCCACTCCACCGATTCCCCTTCCGTCGAGGCCACCGGCATCCACTAAAGATCTTCCTTCAATGGGCGAAGATCAACTACCCTTTTACACCCCTCTTCTCTTTTTCACAAGTTTAGGAGACAACTTTTACGAGCACACACTTCTCCCTAAACAAAATTCTAAACTTAGAACTAGAGGAGGGGATTTCTCAAGTGATTACTACAACGTTTTCTTACTTTTAAACTCTCTGTGCTTGTGTATCTTAACCAGGGATGAGAGGGGTATTTATAGGTCTCAAGTTGATTCAAACTTGGAGCCTAAAAATGTCTCATCCCGGGTCCTCTAGGTACTGGCGGTACCACCACTTGTGTTGGACGGTACCACCGCCTGCAGCACTGACACTGACACTAGGTGGTACCACCGCCTGACACAGTTTTGGAGATTGTGCCACGACGGTTGCACTTGTTGGATCACTGTTTGAGCCTTTCACTTGGCCCAACACAGTCCATACATGGGCCTAACTAGCCCCTAATTGGGTTGGTCCAATCCCAACCCAATTATATGCTAATTACGAATTTTAAGACATTTTACTAAGCTAAATAAGTCTGTAAGTCTAGGTTTCTTCCTGCGAGCTTCCGGCGAACTTCCGACGATCTCTCGGCAATGTTCCAGCGGACTCCCGACAAGCTCCTGGACTTCACGACGATCTTCTTGGCGAGTTCCGATGAGCTTCTGCGGTAAGCTCCTGGACTTCTCGGTCAATTTCGGCAAAACTTCCGACGAACGTCCGGACTTCCGACGAACTCTCGAACTCCTAACGAAGTCTCGTTCTTGACTCCGAGACTTCATTTTGCTTTATGCCTTGATCACTATCGTAGTTAATCCTGCATAAATAAAACCTACTTCGATCTAGACAATTATTACAAAGCTTGAATTATGTTGTCCGGTATGTCATTGGTTCATCGACGCTTCATCCGATTTTTCGGCCCATCGTTCTCTCTTGCAACCTATTGTCCAATCGGCCAGTGGACCTCCACAACTCCGATTTCCTTGGCGCAATTTTCGCTCTTCTTGGCCTGATACCCGAACTCATGGCCCGAAGCCTTCTGTCGATACGTCGACCGATCTTTCGGCTCGACGTCCAATTTTCTGACATGTTCCACTCTGGCCCAACATGATTCTTCTTGCTTTTAATTATCTCTCCCTGATCGAAGCTTCCTGCATCACTCAAAACGCAGATCAAATAAACACTATCAATTGGTTTCATCATCAAAATCTGAAATTCAACAATGAGCAAATCATACAATATACTTCCGAAAGGCCTTTTACGAACCAGAGATAAACAAATCTCCGAACTTGTAATAAGTGAATTCATCAAGATATATGGAACTTTTGAACCTCAGATTACAAATGCCATGTTCCTTTACCTTAGCAAGAAAAATGTGGACAAAGCTATTCATTTTCTAAATGTTAAATGCAAAAGGATCATTTCAGTTAGTGCCTTGACCACGGTCATTGACACTTTTAAGAAGGAACCTAGAATTGAAGATGCTTACCAGTTTTTATTGCAATCTGAAGAAAATGGAGTTCCTGTGGATGCATTTGTTCACTCTCTTGTGGTGGATGGACTTTGCAAGTCAGGTTATCTTGAAAGAGCTCTATATCTCTGTGGAAGCATGAAAAGAAAGGGGATATACCCTAATGTTGTCATCTACAATTCTGTAATCAATGGTTTGTGCCAGCAAGGATGTCTAACTGAAGCATTCAGAATTTTTGATTCTTTGGAGAACCTTTTCTATGCCTCCTACAATTGTTACTTATTCTACTCTTATAGGTGCATTATCTAGAGAAGGTTTCCTGGATGATGCAAGCCAATTATTTAAAAGGATGATCATTAAGGGTATTATACCAAATACATCAGTTTTTAACAAACTGATAAGTGGGTATTGCAGCTGCAGATTGGTTGAAGAAGCCTTGGATCTCCTCTCAGATTTGGAAAAGAATTGTTAATCCAGATGATTATACAATTGCGGCTATCCTAAATGGGTTTTGTCAAAGAAGGGACATTGAAGGTGCCCTAGGCTTTTTTACTGAGACCAAAACGAGAGGATACTTTTCAGATTTCTTGGGTTTCATGAATCTCGTAGATGGACTCCTTGCGGAAGGAATGATGGAGGAAGCAAGGAGCATTTTAAGGGACATTCTGAAGCGTGCAGAAATTGTAGATCTGATAAATAATGCTGGAGATGAGCTTCATGTAGAGTCCTTAGATAGTCTCCTATCTCTTGCATGTGAGCAAAGAAGAATCAAGGAAGTCATACTTGTTCTAAATGAAATTAGTTATTTGTCCATATCTTCCACAAGGTCTAACAGTGGTAGAGTGTTTCTGAAACTAAAGGAGCTGCATGGTTCAGGTGTTTTAGATACAGAAAACAAGATAGATGGAAGAGGCGTTCATCGTCTGCTGGTAGCAGATGTTCATGGGACTAATATAAAGGGCGGATTTATTGTGAAGGTGGATGAAGATAGTGACAAGGAAATAAATGAATATTTGATGGAAAAACCACTAGGCTATGACTTTGCAACCTACTATTCCATCATTTCATTGTTGTGTCAACTAGGGGACCTGCAGAAGGCTAATGAAGCGGCCAGAACAATTCTTCAAAATCCAGAGAAAGTCTTCAATCCGTCCATCCCAACTCTTTGAAGAGTAAAGAGTTTTGTAAGGGAATGGATAATGTTTAACTTGCTGGTATTGTAAGCTGAAACTATATATTAAAAGTGGTTTAGATCAGGTTTTTGCAACTCTTTGAGTAGAGAGTTTTCTAGGTGATTGAAAGAATTTACCAGTTATAGTGTCAATAACTGTTTGTAAAATATCCGGTTGTCAATCTCATATAACTCTGTGATCATCCTTTTCTGTTGTCATTAACACTTTCTTGTATAATGTTCATTTTGCATAACTGTAATGTCTGCTAGAAGTATGCTCATTTACCTCACATTTTTTGTTTGTTTATTCACCTGTTGTTGAATTGAAGAAAATATTCACCTTGCTATTTTTGTAGGTGCAAGGAAGGTGTTAAATTCCGAGCTTTGGCATGCCTTTGCTGGACTATTTTCCACAGGGACACAGTGAACAGGTTCTTATCTTTCTGATATTCTCATATATTGTGGATACAGATTCTTGTCTTGTCTTTGTATTATTTTTCCTAGAGATCACCTAGCTCAGAATCTTCAGCAGCAAAATGACATTAAAAAATTTACACAAGTTTTTGTTAAGACGTATGATGAATTTTTTTTACAAAGTGTGATAATATGTCAAGGTCTTTACCATCCACACTAGTCAGCACCTTCCAAGATGAAAATCTTCATAGAATGATTCATCTATGCTATAAAAAGTTTTAAAATTTTTATTCCCATCATAATTGGAATGCTATTAGATTAGATATGCTCATTAGGATTAAATGCAACTCACATTTAGACATTACATATCCATATAAGCCAGCCCCAGAATTAGACCTAGGGCCATAGCATAAGTAGCCAATTACAATTCTTCATAGCCAACCAATTGATGTGGTCCTAAAAGGAATAATAGTTTAAAACCTTAAAGAACTTGGGATCTGCTCTAATCACACCTTTGGTGGGAGCATGTTAAAGACTTCATCAAAATCGTCTATTAATTCTATAGCTCTGCTATGTTTAGTGGGACCCAATGGATTCATATGGTTATAAAAAAACATGGAGCTTGGATATCTTAACTATAGTAGGCTCTCCACCTATGTAAATGATGTCACAGATAGCAGAACAAGTGGGTCCCAGTGATCTTATGAGGGGAGTCACCTAATGCTTGTGTTAATTAATACTAATTTTTTTATAGAGGCTTGCGAGGGTTGTCCACACCCCCTTGAGCATCGCCACCACCTCCATGATGGAAAATCTGTCCTCCGTGATCAATGCTAAACATCTCTTTGTTATAGCTCTCATGGCCTCCTCACCCTTGTTAGCGTTGCTCATGCCCTTGTTTAGTCAACTAGCGATAGCTGGGTGTATTCCTGCCCACTTAGGTGATGTGGAGGTTAGGTTATTGTTCTTATCATCCCTAAAACTTATCTCAAGTTGCTTTTCTCTCCTGATCTAGCGACGACAAGGTGTCACGAACAAAATTATAAACGGGGTGTTTGATGTAATACTCATATATGTCTATGTATTTCAGTTTGTGTTTATGCTTTGCATAACATATAGAGGGCTTGCAATAGGTTTGACAGCCCTAGTTTGGTTGGCTTTTGTGATCGTTTCAGGCTTGTAAATACAGGTTGTGTACAGTCGTCGTATAGAGGCAAAACTATCCAGAAACAGGCCATCCAAGCAATCATTTTTGGGGTTTTCTAGCTCCACAGAGTAGTGCGGAGTATCAGCCAGTACAACACCTAGGAGATACTCGGGTGGCATATGGCTGGATGGGGCCTTGGAGTAGTGTCTAGGGTTGGTTTGTCACCTTATTCCACAATAGTGTCATGTGGGCACTTGTGGGGATATTTGGCCATGGCGGACCACCTAGGACCCTTTGTCGCGCGACTGTTTAGAGCTTTCGAAGTCTATGTTTGTAATTTATATTACGTATCAAGTGTCTGCTGAAATGACTGCTTGTGGATCTCGAGTTAAACACATTCTCTAACCCGTCTTCTCTTTTGTAGGTTCTTAAGGGACCATAAGAGGTTTCGGGGAGGCTGACCCTTTGCGGAGGGACACGCAAGGGTGTCGCCCAACTTACGCAAAACCAGCTAAGTTCATGACAGAGGAGCATAACTAGTAGAGAGCGAGCGAGCGATGGTGGAGCCCAAGAAGTAGTCTATTGCCATTCTCCATGCCTAGTTCACTACCAATTGGGGCAGAGACAGTAAGGCCTCATGGCGGGGTGAAGGTGGCCACCTAGATGCAGCATGATGAAAGTAGCAAGGTGGAGGCGGCCACGAAGGGACAAAAACGATGAGTGGCAAGCGATAGATGATGATGAGGGATATTTATGGGATTAGAAAAAAGATACCATCCAAATAAAAAGTACCTATCGGGAAAAGCACATAAGGAGAAGCACATAAGGAGAAGCTTTTATAGAAAACTGTCCTAAAAGCAATATATACTTTTTCTAGAAATATAGACGATTGGAAGTTTAACTCCTATGGAAATACTATATGCAGCTTCTTATAATTTAATTAATTAATTTATTCTACTAGATGTATTTAGGTCTTGAATACATCTCCCCAAGACACTCATCCGAGTTACCTAGTGGTGCCTGAGTATGATACCCCATCTCTGGGCCCCACAGTGTATTTTTATGAAATAATCACGTAGGACAAGAGGGATTTTGGACAAGATCTAAGGCATGTGTGTTTGAATTTATCAGGATATAAGAAAGAGAAAGCCAATAGATGTCAACTCTGCTACTCCGTTTCGTCAGCTTCTTCTCCTCCCTCCTCTGTCTCCTCCATTCCCATCTTCTCCATTGACGGGCCATTCGAGCCTCTACATTCTTGATCAGATCCGTTTGCCTCATCATCTTCGGGCCGTATGCAACGATGATGTTGATTAATTGTTCCCACTGCCACACCCTGCTACAGCTCCCATCGGGGGTGTCGTCCATGCGATGCACCATCTGCAAGTCCATCACTTACGTTTCTGATTTTTGGGGTGTCCCCATGCCTCTGGGGGCTTCTCATTCCGTCCCACACCCGTCACCATCTTGGGGGCTAGCGTTGCCGCCGATGCCGGGTGGTGGTGGGCGAAAGAAAGCGGTGATTTGTGGGGTCACGTATCGGAACACACGAAATGAGCTTATGGGGAGTATAAATGGTGCCAAGTGCATGAAGTACCTCCTCATCAATCGCTTCAGCTTCCCGGAATCCAACATCATCATGCTAACAGGTACTACTATGATCTTTCCTATCACCATTCACAACAACAGTCAATCAATCGGGTCTCTCTCAATTTGGTTTGTTTGGTTCCAGCCATAATCATTGTGAGCATAATCCCTTATATAAGCTTCTGTTTCTTAGTTCTTTCGTAGAATTTGAAATCATCTATACGTTGCATGTTAGTGGACATAGTTGCAAACGTGCAGTTCTTCTAGAGCTTAAACTCTGGATTGGTTGTGGATCTAGCAGATAAATATCAATTACCCAGGTAATTCGCTATGCAGAATACCTACCTGGTTCATTATTAAAATAAAAAGGGAAATTATAGTTGAATTAGCACCCATAACATGAATGATTAGAGCTTGTCAATCTTCTTCTCAGTTGGATTTGTCAAGGATAGCCACTTGATTGATGGAGTTAGCTAGGACAATGGTAAATGAATATTAAGTTGTTGCATATCAAAAGGGAGGAAAAAGAAACGGAACTGGTGCCTATGGAACTGAATCATGAGCTGCTTTCTATGATTGGAGTGCTCGGAGAACTAGTACATAATTCCATGAATCAGAGTGTTTACCATTAATTTCTAACAAAGGAAGCATTTATTCAAAGAAATACTTATAGCTGTGCATGTATGTCCATCTACACTTCCATAATCTTGATTCTTTTTCAACCATTATGGCATCAGATTGATAATTATGTGCAGCAAAGAAATCCATAATCACCTTAAGTGATGAATAAAGCAGCTCTGTTTTATTTTTTAATTTTGCAAAAGATAATTGTGTTTTTCTTGGCACATCTGCTTTGATGCAAAGATGAGTATTGTAGACTATCTTGCTTCGATGACATTTAAGCCCATTTTAAACTTTAGGGCATATACATTTTCATTGTATTTGTAAAATAGAAACCTGTACTTGATAAGCCAGTGCCTACTTGTCACCTGGAATTGTTGTATCCTTGTTTCCTAAGATATGAGATTCTTTGAGCAATTGAAAGTCTATTCACACTAAGTAGAAAAAGTCTAGTTCATTTTTTCAGTCAGACATTGGGTTTGGCTATCCATGATCCTCAGTTTGCATCCTACATCTTCGACTTTTCTAACCTCTTTTAGTTTGGAAGCTGATTTGCAGAGGACGAAAGAGATCCATACAAGATACCAACCAAACATAATATAAGAATGGCAATGTATTGGCTTGTACAAGGTTGTCAACCAGGTGACTCTTTGGTATTCTTCTACTCTGGCCATGGTTCACAACGAAGAGACTACAGCGGGGAAGAAGCAGATGGTTATGATGAAACCCTTTGTCCTCTGGACTTTAGAACACAAGGAATGATTGTCGATAATGAAATTAATGCAACCATGGTCAGGCCGCTTTCTCGTGGAGTTAAGCTTCTCGCTATTATAGATGCTTGTCACAGTGGCACCATGCTAGATCTACCTTACCTTTGCAGAATGAACAGGTCAGTGATGTATATTAAGGTTGTCATGACTCTTGATTATATTTTTGCTTCCAAGAAAAAAGCTTCTTTTTATTTTTTTTTTCTTAGTTTCTGCACCAGTACTATTTGTTGTCTTCCATTTCCTTCAAAGAACTTTATTATTTTTCCCATGAGCCATGAGAATTATGTGCTATTTCTGTTACTATCTCTTCACTGATCTATCATATTCAACTAAAACTCATGATTTCTTCATTTCTTTCCCCAGTCAACCATGTTTTTCTAAATAAATCCATCAATATCCACCCTGGTCTTCTCAATGCTAGAAATAGAAACAAGAGCAGAGAAGTGGCAGTAAATTGATGATCTCTATTTATTGAAACACTAACTTTTTATATTAAATTTCTACAGGATATTATTCTCATCAGATACTTCTCAAATATGTGCAGGATAATTTCTTGAAGTCTGTGATAGTTTAGATTATTTACAAAATAAATGCTTCTAGGATAGTCGGGTCACATTTCATGCGTATGTCACGGAACACTATGTTTTTTGAACATTGATCTTTCATTGATGGACAAGGTGAATATATGATTCGATACATTGCCTCATGTTGTTTGTATTGAGCATCAAATTGTAGTTAATGATGAAATGATGGTCTTTCAGTACAAGCCGTTGGTACCTATTCTTCAAGTTTGGAAAATTATATTATTGTTGGGATGCCCGTTAAAAATATATATATGCATTTGTCTATCATTACTTCTGACTAAATATTTGAATACTCTAAACAAGTGAAGATTTGATGCACATTATGTTGTAATTAAAATACCTTTTCTTACCATGTTGACTGCACATCATATCCTACATGATTTGAAGCGTTGGCATATCCACATCATGTCATTTGTGTGTCCTGAACTCGTGCTTCATAGAATTTTGTAGATGCCTCCATCATATATATTTGTTTTATTTTTCTCAGTCTATTTCCACTAAACATTTGCAGTTTAGAATTCCAGGTCATTTCCAAAAATTTGATCCCTTTTTGCTGGATCCTGGTATCTTGAGATTAATAACTCAGAGAAGTCTGATTTATGGATATACTGCAGCCCTAAATCCTGGAACCAGATATTGTATTGGAAGGGTGGGGCCAAACTGTTCTGGAAAATAAGTGCTAGTCTAATTTTAATGGTTTTGCATTGTCAGATGAAGCATGTTGTCTGAGTCACCCCTATTCTGCAGAGTCGAGCTGTCCATGATTTGTTTTCCCAATCTAATAATTTAAGACAAAAATTTCCATGTAATGACATTACTGTGGGACCCAATCAAGGAAAATCTTCATTTCTTTGGGATCAAGGATTTCATATTTTCCTGGAAGTATTTTAAACTACTGAATCATGTTGGCCAAATAATTCAAAATGTTGACTGCTCGGAACTTTTTCTTTATAACCATGCTGGTAGAATGTTGGGTGTTGGTGGTAGGATTTAGCCGATATCTACTTCAGTTGCCTTTTCCCCCCTTTTTGGCGAGAGATGAATGCTCAACATAACCAAGGAAATTCAATAGTTTTATTTGTGGCTTCTTTTCTTATCATATTTGCTTGTCATATCTGATTACACACTTTGGATTTGTATATTTGAGCAATATCTTGAACACTATCTCCTCTCCTGTAACATGTGTATCGATGAAAACATTTGATGCTATTTTTAGTATTTTTCTATCTGTGATTCAAAATGTTTGAGAACATAGAACTTAAGAAAAGAAAATATGAGAGATTATTAAATAATATGTGAGTAATAAAGAAGATATGTAATGATTATGATGCAATCTGCATCAGGTTTACATCATTTTTTATCTTGAAAAATTCTTAATCAACTTATTCTTTTCATCATTATATGACAGTAATCACTCCAGCACCATGATGTATATTTATTTTGCCTGTGGCAGTAGACCAGGTTGCATCCTAGTGATGATGGTAATTGGCTACTGTTTGCTCAATGGTACAACAATAAAAACAAATTGGCCCTTGTAATTTTTCTCTCAGTGATATGATAGCTAATTTTCTTCACTGGTTTAGGAGTGGGCACTATGCATGGGAAGATCATCGCCCAAGAAATGGTGCTTGGAAAGGTACTAGTGGTGGAGAAGTCATCGCATTCAGTGGTTGTGATGACAATCAAACTTCTGTACAAACCACGGTAAACTCTCGTTTCTTGCAACATAGTCAATACTTGGGTTAAACATGGGTTTCAAAGCCAGAAAATCCTTAGTGAGAGCTCAAATCAGTGCCATATCCAAATGATTTTTTTAAACCAGGATGTTTCTAACATAAATTGTCAATGTCTTCTGGCATCTTATCGAGTGCAATTACTAGTCAATTTTTGAGAAGGAAATTAGTTGGCTGGACGTTCCATTTGATTAGTATGCCAAAGAACCTGATTATGTCTTTGAACGCTGGGTTGAATTATATAGATAGTAGCCCTTCTCTAGAAACAATCCCTGGAATTAATGATTACCATCAGTAAATAACTCTTCGGTCAGAAACTATATTTTAGGACAGACACCATATAACTCAGTGCTTGGTTGATTCTGTCTTGGATAAGCAGTTATCTTTAACCTATTGCTCTGGTTGCAGTTCTTAGGTTTTATGGCTGGCAGTATCTAACATGAAACTGGTAATCTATTTCTAGCATCGTCTCTTATACTTCTAATTAAAAGTGTCAATCTTGTCTATTTTAAGAAATCCTTAGCAATGAACTGACAAGTATAAAATTCAATCGAGGAGACAAACCAAGGAGTGAAAAAGCTTTTTTCCACATTCAGATTTTGATTCTACAAGTTCTCTTGAATTTGTCAACGTATCATTCTGCATAGGCAATGGTTCTGTGATGAAACCAAATCTATACTAATATTTACTTGTGTACCACATTTGCAGGCTCTATCAGGGATTACCTCAACAGGTGCCATGACTTACTGTTTCATCCAAGCCATTGAGCAAGGACATGGGACAACATACGGTAGCATACTGAATTCGATGCGATCCACCATAAGAAAAACCATCGATTTAAATTCCGGAGGCCCTGTCACTTCATTCATCACTATGTTGTTGACTGGAGGTAGCATGCCTGGCACACTGAGACAGGTATGTTCTTGTTGCCGCGATACACACATCATAAATTAAGCATTAGATCTGAGAAATGGAGATTTTAGGCAAAACTTTCCTAACTCAAGTTTTGTTGCATTGGATCTGCAGGAGCCGCAGCTGACATCAAACACAATGTTCCATGTTTATGCAAAACCGTTTTCTCTGTAATGTGTATTTTCACTTTTGCACTTGAAGTGTCTTCTGTTGTCATTGATTATGCACATGTTTTACATCTGTTTTGCTTGATTTGACTGACGTTGAGAAACATCTTCTGAGGGTTTATCGATTTATTTGACATTGGTGTATAGGATTTTTCTTCCATCAATATAACATTTCTTTCTATAGCATGCATAAAAGAAGACTACTCCTATGCATGGACCCATTAACATAATGAACTAGTATTATTGGTCATCTTATATTGAGTTGGGTTGTAACATGCTTTATAAATTCAAAACCCACTAGCAAATGCCAGCCAGCTTTAATATCATTCTTTATGGTGGTTTGATTGTGTGTGATGCAAGATACCAAAAAGGGTGTATTCATGAGAAAACAAGCCACTATTATGGAGATTGTTAGATGCTTACAACAAAGTTTTGAGTGCAATAAAAGGAATCATAAAAAAAAAGGAGTATTCATGAGAAAACAATCCACTATCATGGAGACTGTTAGATGCTTATAACAAAATTTTGAATGCAATAAAAGGTATCATCCACTTCGACCGACAATCTCAATCTCACCTCATTTTAATGCAAATCAATAAGGCTCAAATGGTTGGGATTAGCAAACTTCTGTATTGCTTGATTTGACAGACATTGAGGTACAACTTCTTAGGGTTTATCAATTTCTTTGACATTGGTGTATAGGATTTTTCTTCCATCAATATGCCATTTCTTTCTATAGCATGCATAAAAGAAGACTACACCTATGCATGGACCCATTAACACAATGAACTAGAGTTATTGGTCATCTCCGATTGAGTGGGGTTATCATCAGAAATTGCATGCCAATGTCTACATGCTTTATAAATATAAAACCCATTAGCAAATGTCAACTAGCTTTAATGTCATTATTCAAGGGGGGTTGATGCTGTGTGATGCAACATTACAAAAAGGGAGCATTCATGAGAAAAAAGCCACTATTATGGGGATTGTTAGCTGCTTATAACAAAATTTTGCTTATAATAAAGCCACTTTATACATTATACTTAAATAATGTATAAAGTGTTGTTTAAAAGAATTCACATCGTAAATAACAAATTTTAGTGGGAATAAATGGAAGAAAAGCTTGCCTGTAGAAATTATGCTTTCATTAATTGTTGCTCTATAAAAAGATTTGATGTGATATTTAATGCACGAGTAATCTTCTTTGAGGATTTTATTTGAGCTTGCGGGCTTGCAAGGCCAAGGTATTTGTGCCATTTGATTGGGCTGCACTGGGTTGATAAAGCACATATAACACTGCTATTTACCACGAAGGGGATTGCCAAACCTTCTACCACGCTCATGACCTTCTTCCTCTTTGAACAAACACAATCCTATGCTCGGGCAATCACATATAAAGGGAGTTCTGAAGCCAGATGCAGGTCCAATGTGCACCTAGCACTTTCATTGAACAAAAAACAGGCACACTAAAGGTGTTGCAACAACCCTCAGACATATAACATAGGTCCTATTATACCCGGTGATAGTAATTTCTGCTTATGAAAGTACTATCATAAACCCGGTTTTGTAAGATAGAATCAGAAACAAAAAACAAAAAACACTGATAACAGATCAAAACTGGTTTGATGATAGTACTTTCTGCTTATGAAAAACACTCAAAAACACCAAAAAGCAATGGAAAACAAGAATTGAAATGACATGTCGAATACCTTGACTGCATTGCTCCATGACATTCTCCCCCATTTATTTCTTCAACGCTCTCATCAAAGCCTTCTTGTATGTTGCAAATTGATTATACTTAGCCGCAATGTGCTTCTCAGCTTCTATTGTTAAGTGGTTGACTTTGATCCACCCACTTTGTTGCAACTTGTCGCCGAGGTGGTTCAGTTGGGGAAGTTGGCTGGGTTGGAACACTTTTCGCTGAATCCTTTGGATTTTTTAGTCAGCAAAAGAAGAACCTTCATGCTTGCGTTCGAGTCCCCTTGAGGTGTTACCCTGCAAGAGCTTGACTGGTTGGAGTTAGCGTAATATTACAGAACTTGAAGCGTCTATGCTACTCTTGTGATGTTTGGCCCTTGCATCTTCTATCCCATCACCATCTTCTCGAAATAGGTTCGCACTATCTCCATTTTTGTGGTAACTCGCCGAGAGGATAGTGCATGGACATACCACCTTCAATGTAGCCAATAACCCAATGGTGAGGAGTTTATGGTTGCTGAATTCTGAGCACTTTAAAGGGACTTCTATTTGATACAAAGGTCCACTATGTAGGTGAGGAGAATTGGGTTACTCTGATTGGCTTCATCTAAATTCCTCGGGTTGTACTCCTTGCTTTGAGTTAGTTACTTGATTTTGTCCACTTTTTGTCGTCGCATTTCTGAGTACTAGAAGTGTTGCTCAAGCTTGAGTTAAATTAAGATCTCGTAGAACCTTTATCAAACAAACTTGGCCACACCTTTAGGATCACACATGCTCCATTTGCAACGAGAATTATGCTCTTCCCTCTACAGCATAAGTTTGGTCAACACTCGGAAGACTCACCATTGTGATACCATGCCTCATCCTCTAATGTTCATGGCTTTCTATTCGATGCTTTCTCGACCAAGTTCTTTTTGGATGGACTCGAGGTCCTCGCAATGCCGTGCCTCTACTAATCAGTTGCTTTTGCACACCTGGTGACATAGAAAGCATTTCTCTTTTGATCCTTTGCCAATCTAAATATAACTTTTCAGTGTGATCATCACCATTTGCTTGTCGCAGGGTCTCGCCAACATTGATTGTTTGGCCATTTGCTTGACATTCACGATTGCTCGCCTGATCTCACCACTCAAAAGGATCGGGATACCCACAAGCAAAGATAAGCTCTGAAGATTTTCTCACTCCAAAAATGATGTCCAACGTGGATGGTCTACTAGATTTTTGACTCAATCACTGAATTCAAACTTCCATTCCACTTTTTATTCTTATGGAAAGGGCTTCGGTGACTGAGTTGTTGTTAAGTTGGTATATTCTTCAAGAGCGTCAGTCTCAATGGACCATTGCCCCATGCTAAGGCCTTCTGACTCCGGCTACATTGTTGTGGGATGAGTCAAGTCTTTCCGCTTCGATTCCTTCATCACTTGCTTAACTGAGAGTACATGTGTCCGTCGAAGCTCTCTTCGAAAGTGTCACCATGCATGGAGAGTCACCGTCTCATCTTTTGATGTTTTTCATGGAAATTCCAAGGTCTAGAAAATTATAAGTGTCTCATCTTTGATGATTTTCATGGAATTCAACAAATGGTTAAGCAGGGACATCCTTCATTGTTATGTGCCATGCTCTTGTGCTCACAAATAAGCATTTCCTGCTGACATAGAGTTTCATCATTTTGTTTTGATTTATACCGATACAAATGTTGCAAGTAACAGAGTGCTTTTCTCTTCTTTCGAGGACATACAAAGAGGCATCTTTTGTCCTCTGGATGGAGTCTGTTTGTGGGTGCGAAAAGGCTTTAAGCTGGTGATTCTGTATTGTTTATCAGGTAAAATGGTAGAACACGAGGAAAATATGTTTCTGATCGCAATTATATTACAATTTGATCTTGGAATTGACTTTTCTAAACCTAGAAACTTGGAAATTATTGAAGGATTGTTCTTTCATTGCTTAAATTGATGTATTCTACAAGATCATAGAAGATATAGTGTAGATCTGCCATAGCCACTAACAGGATATGTGCTTCTTTTAAAGACATTATGAGGGTTCAGAAACTATTTTGCCAAGGGCTTACCATGATTTTGCTCTTGTGGATATCTCTTGTAAAAATTTTCTTCATTCCAATAGTATCACTGAAATATCAAATACCACAAGAGTGTGAAAGTAACAAATTAGTGATGAGTTAAGGTTGGCAAAAATCAAGACTTGAGTTAGGTATGGGCAAGAGTCAGACAATATCAAACATACTATATAACAGCCAGATCCAGGAACCCAGATATCGATCGTGGCCATTGTAGTTGTTTGAATTAGTTCTGATTTTATTTATTTATTCTTCTTTCAGTCAACTGAAACCTGACCTTGTTGGAAACAAAGGAACTGGTGAGATGCTGGTTTTAGTTTGAAACATTTTGGTAGTTTGCTAATGAAATAGATGTAAGTCTTGTTGCGAGTTATTTGACTGCATAGGTTTCTAAAGATTTCTGTTTCCATGTCACCCAATCTCTTCCAACTTTTGTTGCAAGTTTGAGATCAAGCAATGCAGGTCCTTGTCTCCTTATGATTTAAAGCATTTCTCTAGAATAAAGCTTGCTGGTTTATCTCTAGAATAAGGCTTGCTGGTTTATCTCTAGAATAAGGCTTGCTGGTTTATCCATCCATGTGTTGCAAATCCTTCTTTGAGTTTGAAGTCTGGTAGAGATATCTTTATTAACACCTAGGTCTTTGAGTCTGATAGCAAACTTACAATGGTAGTTCCCAATCTCCTCTTGTGCATGTGATCTCCAAAATGTCCATTCCTAATCAGTGTGTTATATACCCTATAGAAGGCTTTCTGACATTCTTGATGCACAACTTAAGGAATAAAGGGTTTGCGGATCCATTATAAGCTAATGCATGCTATCGAACTAGTCACAAGGAGTATTGTGAACAATTTCTGTATTGGAAAAGAAACCTACTAAAAATTGTTGAACTTTATAACAAGGGCACCTCTTGCTAGTGTCATGTATTCCCACAAAACTGGTTTGTCTTGAATTTTCATTGTAAGTATCACATCGAGATAACTTACAAATTTTAACTAGTCTCTATTAAATGAACTTGCTTCAACCTTGTTATCCTGATTTTTGATTGAGAATGCAAAGCAAACCCACTAGTCCACATTTTTGATAAAATGAAAAAGCACCAAGATTTGATCTGAGTTGGGCCTTGATCCGTTCAACCAAATCTACTAGTGACCAAGCGACCAAATCTAATATTGACCAAGCAATTATGATCTGCTTTGATTGAATGCCTGAACTTGGAGCCAACCTGGTCTTAAAGTGAGAGAAGTTTTTGTTAGTACATATATCTCAAACAATATAGCCGTTCTCAGATCCATTTGCCTGTCCGTAATCCAGGTTGGTTCAGATTTGTTGAATGGGTGAGGAAAAAATTGTCACCCCTATGAAAAATCATCAATTATGAGAACCAAAAATTACTGAAAGGATTTTCTTTGTTCACTTTCTGCCTTTGTTATTAGAGCTTAAGTACAGGGAACAAAGAGGCAGATATCCCATGTTTCCTTCATTAGATGCTTGTTATTATGTGGAACCAGAAAGTAGGCATCAGATATCTTTTCATAATCATTGTTATGCTGGTAGCAACACAAACAAACCTTGGGCAGGTTGACACATGAATAATGTATAGAAAATTCATTTAGCGGAAAATATTGGAAGTTTATACTTATAAAGAAGGTAGTACGTTTGGAATTGCTATTTGAATAATTGTAGATTTTTGGTTTTACTTGATGTATATACATGCACATCCTGGATTGCTGTCTGGGGCCAGTTTTAGTATTCTATCTTTTGGAAAAAAAAAAAATCATCACCAGAAACTAATGAAATGTGTAGTGCATACAGGGATGAGAAATCACAGATTCTCTTGGGTGTTAGGTGTGCCAACTGTAAACAAACAGCCCTAACATCATCTGTACTTTCCACTGACAGTATGCAAATTGGTGTCCTTGTTGCAGCAAGCTCATGCTGCAGCAAGCAGGAACCCATTCACTGTGTACTATAATCCTAGGTACATTGTTTTGCTTTTGTTCGATCTCCACGTTTTAAAATGTGGAGAAAGCTATTGATTTTCAAGTGTTAAGTGCAAAAGGATCATTTCGGTCGGTGCCTTGACCACAGTCTTTGACATTTTTAAGGACGGTAGAGTTGAAGATGCTTAGCAGTTTTTATTTCAATCTGAAGAAAATGGAGTTCCTGTGGATATATTTGTTTACTCTCTTGTGGTGGATGGACTTTTCAAGTCAGGTTATCTCGAAAGAGCTCTACATCTCTGTGGAAGCATGAAAAAGAAAGGGATTTACCCAAATGTTGTCATCTACAATTCCGTAATCAATGGTTTGTGCCAGCAAGGATGTCTAAATGAAGCATTCAACAGTTGTTGGTGCTTTGTCTACGGAAGGTTTCCTGGATGATTCATGCCAATTATTTAAAAGGATGATCATTAAGGGTATTATCAGTTTATAACAAACTGATAAGTTGGCATAGCAGCTGTGGATTGGTTGAAGAAGCCTTGGATCTCATCTCAAATTTGGAAAAGAATTGTTTGAATTCAGATGGGTATACAATTGCTGCTATCCTAAATGAGTTTTGTGAAGGTGCCCTAGTTTTCTTTATTGACTACAAAAGCAGAGGATGTTTTCCAGATTTCTTGGGTTTCATGAATCTCATGGTGGGACTTTTTGCAAAAGGAAGGATGGAGGAAGCAAGGAGCATTTTGAGGGACATGCTAAAGTGTGCTGAAACTGTAGATCTGATAAATAATGCTGGAGATGAGTTTCATGTGGAGTCAGTCTCATATCTCTTGCATGTGAGCAAGGAAGAATCAAGGAAGTCATACTTGTTCTTAATGAAATTGGTTATTTGTCTATATCTTCCTCAAGATCTAACATTGGTAGAGTGTTTCTGAAACTAAAGGAGCTGCATGGTTCAGGTGTTTCAGATACAGAAAACAAGATTAGATGGAAGAGGTGTTCATCGTCTACTGGTAGCTCATGTTCATAGGACTATATAAAAGATGGAGATAGTGACAAGGATATTAATGGATGTTTCATGGGAAAACCACTAGGCTATGACTTTGCAACCTACCATTCCATCATTCCATTGTTATGTCAGCGAGGGGACCTGCAGAAGGCTAACGAAGCAGCAAGAACAATTCTTCAAAATCTACAGAAAGTCTCCTATCACTCCATCACAACTCTTTGAGTGAGTTTTGTGAGGGACTGGATAATGTTCAAGTATGTTCCAATGGATCAACCAAAAAGAAAATGCATACAAAGGCAGTTGGGAACTATAGCTTCCATTTGAAACCCAACCTAATCCTGTAACATTCTGATTTGCATTGTCTTGTTACTACTATCAGGCCACATTCTAAACTTTTCTTTGGTTTCCAAAGTTTTAGTAAGTCAGTCAGTAAGACCTTAAAAACTCAGCTGATTGTAAAATTTGATGTAGTTGAACTTTTTAGTTCTGAAAAGTACCATGCATTAGATATGATGAATTATTTTGTCACTGATCTTTTCCCAGTAATTGCACTGTTTCAGAAAATATTTGACTTACATTAGTGCTTAAAATGGACATTTCAATGGAAAAAATAAAATATAATGAGTTCTTGCTTGTTTGATGATCAAGGACCCAGAGGCTTTTTCATTCCAGAAACTACCCGGAATCCTACTCAGGTAAAAGATAAGGCCAAGAACAGAGAATGATATTAAAGAAGATTTACTTTGATTTCCTCCTCCTTTTTTATGTTTCCCATACTGTTACAAGAGTTTTGGTTGAAGTGATTTTGCAATCTTAGATGTCCCTTCTACTTTGCAGTCTATCAGAGTCTTTTATATGCCATTATTGTTCTTGATTCTTTGCTCTTTTGAAGTTTTGGGTTTTGGATTTCATTCATGAAAGTATTCAACTGTATCCTTTAATTCCCATGAAGAACTCAACAGCACAAGAAGAGCCATTTGCGCCACACTCGAGGAATGGCCTTTGTTGCTTGGTGCACGAGTCATGAGGTGAGCAGCTTCTTGACAAGATCATATGTTACTTGCTGCTGTTGGACACGCTACAGAATGACAACGATCTCATTTCATTGTGGTCGGTAAGTCCTTTCTATCTGCTGTTATTTTAATGTTTGCTGCAGCACTTGATGATCAAAATGTTTGTTGCCCTTTCGTAGCTTCTTAATTGATATCTCAGTATCCTTTATATTGCTGCATTGAATCTGCTTCGAATGCCTCTTCGTTTCTTGTTCTTATCATACTATCATCTCATATGCGCTTCTCTTAGCCGATTCCATGAAGTTCTTTGGTGCGTAAGACATGATAGTATTTAGTTCTCACCATTTAGAAAGCTGACCTCTGCAGTGGGATTATGTGCTGGCTTCAGTTAAGGTGTAGAAGAGAGAGAGAGAGAGAGAGAGAGAGAGAGAGAGAGGACAGTAAATAATGGGTCATAGTCCGTTCTTGTTCTGTTGCCTGTCGATCATTACCAACATCAGCATTATAGAGTGCAGACATTGTATTGGTCTTGGTAGATTTCACACAGCTTTCTCAATCACCATCAACCTTGGTGAAGATGACATGGGGAGTTAGAATAGAGGAGGAAATGATATGTTGTTTGAGCAAGAAGGTAGGCAACCTGCGAGGATAAAGAAGAATGAGAGCATTTAATCTTCTGATTCCCCTGTGAAATCTGTGTAGTTTTGGGGGATGGAATCACTGCAACCTGGAACTCAACACTGTAAAGCTTTCTTTCTCTAAAGAAAATTTTGAGTTCCAACGCAGTGTGTTGCAGGAAGGGGGGGCGACAGGTCGGGGCCTAATCTATTGTCCTCCAATCCCCCCTCTCCTTTCCACCACCACCACCAGCGGTCCACCACGCACACCACCGCTTGCGCGTGCACTTCGATCGCCGCGCCACGATCGGTGCCGTCCGCTGGCATCATCGTCGATGGCGGATGCCGACGCATGCATGCATGCATGGGACAAAAGCGCAGGTCCCATGACAAAAAGGACGAGACGTAGTCAAAAAGTGCCGCATAGCTAGCTAGCTTCTCCCTACCCTAGCTAGATCTCTTCATTCCATCCCACGTTTTGGACTCCGCCCCCTGTCTCTCTCTCTCTCTCTCTCTCTCTCTCTCTCTCACTCACGCACCCACTCCAAAAGAGCAGAGCGGTGCCGGCCTTTTCTCGCTCCCAAATTGCTGCTTTTGGTGACGTTTTTGGGAGGCCATGATGAGAGAAACAGAGATGGTGGTCGAGAGGAGAGAGAGATCGAGAGACAGAGAGGAGCAGAGCAGTACTCTCTCCTTCTGTCTTTCTCTCTCCTTTCCCCGTTTGTCTTTGGCGTCCGAGCCTGACGTCACCAAAGGAGGGCCTGTCGCGTGTGGAGCGAGCAGCATCGCAGCGTTCCCCCTCCCCTGGCCGCTGGGTGGACCCGCGGCCGTCGATGGCTTCGTTAGGCTTTGCATCAAGGGTGGAGTCACTCCTCCCTCGAACAACCCCCCGAAACGTACGTGACGAGACTTCCCATTGCCGCTCCTAATGGCTGGAGCGTGAAGAGTGATCTTGATCTCTGTCAAGACATTGAAGAACCACGCGTGCACTAATTGCGCGGTCAAAGCTAGATGCTTTTCTACACAAATCAATTGCTCTCCTTGCGTAGCAGAACTCTCTCTAGATTTGACTGGGGATTCAGTCAACCTAGGTCGCTGTAATCCCCATTGTAGTGGACCTCCGAGGATGCTTAGATTCTCGCACAAAGCTTATCCCATCTTCTTGCTTAAGTACATTACGGTGAGGTGATGATATATTTGCTCATCTTTAGGACAGAGTATGGACGAATGAGCAGCCCTCCCTGTTCATTCCTTTGATTAGAACTGTGCTCTGTCTCTCTCTTGCTGCCGCTGCTGCAACGACTCTGCGACAGTTCCCCTGATTCCGTGTAGTGCTCGTCTTTCTCTGCTCCCCTTCCTAAAGCTGCCACAACACTCAGCAGAGCAGACCATGAGTTAAAGAAGCCGCTTTGCTTCGTAAAGAAAACAAGATAAAGAAGGAAAACGCATGACGTAGGAATGGGATTAAGGAAAAGAGATCGACGACGATTATCAATGGATGGTAGAATAGGATTAGCCAAGGGTATTTGAAGAGAGAGAGAGAGAGAGAGAGAGAGAGAGGTGAATCATGGCGTCTTCCATCGACGAAAGGTCGGTATCTTTATGGCGAAAAGAGGGAATAAAAAGATAAAAAGGAGTGCACTGAATTCGACTACTCATTGCAATGCTGCTATAGTTTCGCGTGCTTCTTTGGCTGCCAACAAAAATTTCGACCTTTTCTTACAGCAGCGGGTGGCCCTCCTCTCTTCCTCCTCCCCTTCCTCCCCCCACCGACGGCGACCATTGGAGGCCCACGTCGCTCCCTCCCTCTTATATATCTCTATCTCTCGCCGCAGCTTTATAAGCCGGCCCACTGCAAACAAGTTACAGGTCTTGGTGCTTACCACTGCGTCTGCAATCGATTGATTCCTTCTCAGTGAACTTGGACAATTTGGTATCTTGCTACTTTGGCTTCTTCGGACCTAACACTTGTTCGATTTCATTTCGTTTTCTGCTGGCCGGACGCACGCTTCTGTGCTCAGAAGTCGGTGCTTCTGGAGTAAAGATGAGAGTTTCAGCTTAAAGATGGGATTTTGATGCTGCATTTTTCATCCTGCCGGGACGGATATCGCTGATGCTCGGGAGATGCTTCTTTCCGAGAAAAGAGCGGTTCTGTGCTTGAAGATGTAAAGTGGATGATGCTAAAGTGGTGTCCTCCGAATGCTAATGCTGTTGAAGTATGTTCAATGGGCTATTGCTTCTGGTGTTTGGAATGTGACACCACTGACTTCGTGTTAGGGTGTTTTAAGGGAGGTTTTCGGTTCACGGGATGAAGAGCGCAGCGTGGAGGTTCCTCTTCTGTTGCGGGGAGAGGCTGTTGTTGAGCATTCTGCCTTCATTTTTGCCTCAATTCAAGTTAATCTTCTAAGATTGCTGGTTGAAGATGTCTTCCGTTCAAGCAAATGTCCGAGCCGCCGGTCTAAACAGCGCTGCAGCACTGCTAGATGAAATGAAGCTCTTGGGTGAAGTTCCAAGCAAGCCAAGTGAGTGATTTGCTTCTTCATTGCACCTTCTTGTATAATGCTAATTTTGCATAACTGTAATATTCGGTGGAAGTTTGCTCATTTACTTAAGATTTTTTTTGTTTGTTCATTCACTTGTTATTGAATTGAAGAAAATATTCAGCTTACTATTATTTGTAGGTGCAAGAAAGGTGTTAAATTCTGAGCTTTGGCATGCCTGTGCTGGACCACTTGTATCATTGCCTCAACCTGGCAGCCTAGTATACTATTTTCCACAGGGACACAGTGAACAGGTTCTTTTCTTTCTGATCATCTCATGTATTGTGGATACAGATTCTTGTCTTGTCTTTATATCATCTTTCCTGAAGATCACCTAGCTCGGAATCTTCGGCAGCAAAATGACATTAAAAAATTTGCACAAGCATTTGTTAATAGAAAAACAGACTTCAAATTTCTCGTCTTATTGATTTTAATTGTGATTTGACCAACAGTCTTATCTGTCCAGAAAGTTTCTAACAAACCTAGATTAACACTTGAGTGATCTGGGTTAAGAATGAAAGACTAAAATTTTGATAGAATGGCTTCTTCTGCACGATAAAAGTTTCAAAACTTTGATTCATATTATGATTGGAACGCCATTGAAAATCACATATGTTGGGCAGGATTAAATGCAACTCACATTTAAACATTACATATCCATACTAATTTTTAATGGGTAGATTTGGATATGTTGTGATTTATGGGATGGTCGACGTTGTCAAGTTTCCTTTTAGCCATAATTTCTGAGCCAGAAAAAGATATTGATCAAGTTATTGTTGCAAAAATTTAAATATTTTCATTCTTTGGTTTGTTAATTATCTTCCGGTTTCTTGTCAGGTGACTGCTTCAACTAGAAAAATAGCAAACTCACAGATTCCTGCCTACACAGATCTCCCATCTCAATTGATGTGCCAAGTTCACAATGTTACACTACATGTGAGTATAGTAGGTGATGTTGGTTTTCTACGATTTCTTTATTTAAAATATTTATGAATACTTGCCTTTTTCTGATTGGCACATATTTCTAGGCTGACAAGGAGACGGATGAAATATATGCTCAGATGACCCTTCAGCCAGTAACTTCTGTAAGATTTTCATGTTGCTTCGTTGAATTACATATTTTGATATTTATGTTTCCATTTCTGGGAATCAGATTTCTCTCGTAATAATTGTTGATATTGTCTAGACAGCTTTTATGTCGCTTTATAAAAGACAGAGAAACCAAAGTGCTAGTTTCTTTGCTAATCGATGTTTTTCCCTTAGCTTTTGGAGATTCAGTCACAACATATTGTAATTCTACGTCTGTGTGCAAGTTAATCTTGTTAGTTAAAATGAGGCTTCTCTTTTCTTGTGGGAGAATTCGATTACAACTCATTTTAGTTTGAGAAGGTGAAACTATAAGAGTGCAACAAAAAAGTGTGCATTTGTCGATTCCTAATATTGTTCTCCAAGACTTGGAGTTGAGAGATGTTCACTAGGTGGATAAGACCTGAGTGCTTTACAGTGACTTAGAAGCTTGCATTTGCAATCCAGCACTTCATGGCTCATGCAACACTATCATGAAACTATGATGGAATTATAGTGAAAATCAAAATGTACTTTTTGAGCTATTAGTTCAAGAGAGGATTCCTACTAGTATTGTGATTCTTATCTTTCTCTTTTCCTTTCAGGAAAATGATGTCTTTCCTATTCCAGATCTAGGTCATACTAGATGTAAGCACCCGACTGAGTTCTTCTGTAAGATTTTAACTGCAAGTGATACTAGCACACATGGTGGATTCTCAGTACCTCGAAGGGCTGCTGAAAAGCTATTTCCACAGTTGGTGAGGAGTTGGTTTATTTTCTGCTGACTTTCTATTGGACATGCCTTTAAACTTGCTTATATTTCCCAGGATTATTCAATGCAACCTCCAAATCAGGAACTTATTGTCAGGGATTTGCACGATAACTTGTGGACATTTCGACACATATATCGTGGTAGGAGTATAGGCATATTTTGGTTTACCATTACAACCATGTTGTTATAATTACTTGCTAGCAAATTCCAACTTTCTCATCTTAGATGATTTCCTAGAAATTCAACAAATGGTTTAAGTAGGGATATCCTGCATTGTTATGTCCCATACTCTTGTGCTCACAAATAAGCATTTTCTGCAAATATAGAGTTCCACCATGTTGCTTTTATTTATACCGATACAAGTGTTGTAAGTAACAGAGTGCTTTCCTCTTCTTTCCAGGACAGCCAAAGAGACATCTTTTGACCACTGGATGGAGTCTGTTTGTGGGTGCAAAAAGGCTTAAAGCTGGTGATTCTGTTTTGTTTATCAGGTAAAATGGCAGAACATGAGGAAATATGTTTCTGATTGTAATTATATTGCAATTTGATCTTGGGATTGGCTTTTCAAAACCTAGAAACTTGGAAATTATTGAATGATTGTTCTTTCATTGCTTTAATTGTTGTATTCTACAAGATCATAGAAGATATAGTGTAGATTTTTTATAGCCAGTGTCCAGGTTCACGAAATACATAGAGTTATTCTCTGAAATTCTTAAAGGATAATTTTCTTGGTCTGTTCATGTTTATCTGTTCTTTTTTTTTATATATATACAAACAAATTGGAAACTAACTGGATATATTCTGATTTAAAGACATCATGAGGGTTAAAAAAATAATTTCCCAAGGACTTCCCATGATTATGCTCTTGCGAAGATGCCTCGTGAAAATTTTCTTCCTTCCAATAGTATTGCTGAAATTTCAAATACCATGAGTGTGAAAGTAACAAATTATTGACTAGTTCAGGTTGGCAAAAATCAAAACTTGAGTTAGGTATGGGCTAGAGTTAGACAATATCAAACATACCATAAAATTGCAAGATCCTATAACCCAGATACGAATCATGGACATTATAGTAGGTTGAATAAATTATGATTTTATTTATATAATCTTCTTTTAGTCAACTCAAACCTGACCTTGTTGGAAACAGATGAACTGTCGAGATGCACGTTTTAGTTTGAAACGTTTTAATAGTTTGCTAATGTAATAATTGTAAGACTTGTTGGGAGTTATTTGATGGCATGACGTGCTTAAGGTGGATCCATAAACAATTTTCTGACTGTTGTTGCAAGTTTGAGATTTCTGTGCATGTGAACTCCAAAATGTCCATTTCTAATCAGTGTGTTATATAACCTATAGAAGGCTTTCTGACATTCTTGATTCACAATTTAAGGAATAAAGGGTTTGCAGATCCATTATAAGCTAATCCATGACATCAAACAGTTATAGAGGAGTCTTATGAACAATTGTTGTACTGAAAAGGAAACCTACTGAAAATTGTTGAATTTTTTAACAAGGGCATCTACTGTTAGCTTCATTTATTTCCACAAACCTGGTTTGACTTGGATTTTCATTTTATATATCATATGAAGATAACTTACAATTTTGTACTAATCTCTTCTAAATGTGCACCAAACTGGTCTCATCCTGATTATTGACTGAGAATGCAAAGCATACCTACTAGTCCACATTTTTGATAAAAATAAAAAAGAACGAAGATTTGATCTGAGTGAGACCTTGATCCATTCAACCTAATCTAATAGTGACCAAGCAATTATGATCTGCTTCGATCAAATGACTAAAGTTGGAGCCAATCTGGTCTTAGAGTGAGGGAAGGTTTTGTTGGAACATACATCTCAAACAATGGGGCTGTTCTCGGATCTGTTTGTTTGTCCCTCATCTAGGTTGGTTCAGTCTGTTGGATGGGTTGGAAAAAAAAAGGTCACCCCTATGAAAAGTCATCAATTTATGAGAAGACAAATCCGAAATGATTTACTCTGTTCCTTTCAGACTGTTATTAGAGCTCAATTATGGGGAACAAGGAAGCAGACATTCCCATGTTTCCTTTATTAGATGCTTGTTATTATGTGAAACCAGAAAGTAGGCTTCAGATATTTTTTTATAATCGTTGTTATGCTAGTCGGAACACAATCAAGCATTGAGCAGGTTGACACATGAATAATGTATTGAAAATTTATTTAATTGCAATATATTGGAAGTTTATGCTTATGTAGAAGGAAGTATATTAGGAATTGCTATTTGAATAGCTGAAGATTTTTGGTTTTACTTGATGTATATACATGCACATTATGAATTGCTGTATGATGGGGCTAGTTTGAGTATTTTATCTTTCGGTAAAAAAAGATCATCACTAGAAACTAATGAAATGTGTAGTGCATACAGGGATGAGAAGTCACAGCTACTCTTGGGTGTTAGACGTGCCAACCGTAAACAAACAGCCCTAACATCATCTGTACTTTCCACTGACAGTATGCATATTGGTGTCCTCGCTGCAGCAGCTCATGCTGCAGCAAATAGGAGCCCATTCACTGTGTACTATAATCCTAGGTACATTGTTTTGCTCTTGTTTGATCACCATGTTTTAAAACTTTGAGTTATTTTTGTTCTTGATTCTTATTTATTAATATTTCTTTTGTTTTTTTCTCAGAGCATGTCCTTCTGAGTTTATAATTCCTTTAACCAAGTATCATAAAGCTGCGTATACCCAGGTATCAATTGGGATGAGATTTGGCATGATGTTTGAAACTGAGGAGTCAAGTAAACGCAGGTTGTTTTCCTATCATCACTTTGTATTCTTACTGTTGGTATGGTAGTTGTTGTCAGTTGAAGCATAGCAATTGTTCTATGGGATCAAAGCATAAATATTTATTTATTTGTGATTTTGAGTATGTAACAGTAATAGTCATGCATGTAATAATTTCAAGTTATTTAAAATCAGGGATAATTGTTGGGACAGGTCGGTTATTACGCGTCCAATTATAAACTGGTATGTGGACCAACCATTTCTAGTTCATACCATTGTAACTGGTGTACCAAACTATGCATAGTATTTATTGATTCAACCATGAACCACCAGTTATTGTTTTGTATTGTTTCATACTACCTGGTATGATTACCATACCAAGCATACCAACCAAATTTTAGAGTTAAAACATGGTGTACTGAGTGATAGACCTACTCCATGATCACCTATGTTCAATATCAAGATCTATTTTCTTCTTTTTTTTTCCCTTTCTTTGCCTCCTCATATATGTTCCCTTCTTTCGCCACTTCCTTCTCGCCATTGCATAACCACCACTGCCTCCTCCATCTTGCCCCATTGTCATTACCTTCTCCACCTTGTAAGGGTTGCTGCCTCCTGCTTGACCTCTGGTAGGCCTCTTCCTTTTCAGCCAAACCTTTCTTCCTCCCTCTTCTTCACCTTGTTTTCCCCTTTCCCTCTTATCTTCCTATTTCTCTTTGGTCCAGGCCATACAAATACATACAAAGTATCAGTATGTCGATACATATCAGAACCATACTGGTCCAGCTGCCGATTGGTAGTAGCACCTGGCCGTGATTTCCGTTATGAATCCCATGGTTCATTGTTTTGTCTGATGGATCTCTTTTCTTCTTTTGCTACTGAATTTGTTATGATGAAAACTAGGAATTTCTAAATCTTCAGAAAAGGCTTACCTTGACCTATTTGTTCAGACTGCCAATGATGTATTTTTACTCACACCTAAGTAGGCCAAAATCTAACTTCTATTTCCACGGTCCTTAGGTGCTCATTATTTGTCAATCATTACTGCGGTGTTATACGTAGTTTATTATGATGCAATACCTCCACTGATTTGAATCATAAGAATTCTCTCCAGGACAAGAAATCCAATTAGCTGGACGTGTTATCTTTATTATTGCAACCAAAGTGCATTAGTTTATTTTGCTTAATATGAAGAAACACGAGATATAAATAAATATAGCTTCTTTGGTTTTAGGCTTTTAGCACATGGCCATTCTCAGGGGCTCTTCTTCTTGAGGCATATGCCTTCTTTTCAAAGATGCCACTTCTCCACCCAACAGAACCTAATTTACCATTAAAGACAATGCCCTTCCTTTGGTGGAAAGTTTATAGATTAAGTTTAGAAGAAATCTTAATAATTTTCTTTGGTGGAAAGTTTATAGATTCATTTAATTAGGCAATTATAGTTTTCTGAACAATCTTATTGGTAATGATAAGCTTAGCTATTTTCCTAGTGGTTTGCCTCAATGACCATGGGGAAAATTTTCAAGTGATGTGTCTATATGCTTAGAAGTTTGTGATGTATAAACATGAATTTTGCACATCTGTATGTGTTTGTATTCCAACATAGTAATGTATCTAATATCTATGTGAATTTGCATCATGCTGCCCAAATGTGCCCGATGATAATTATTTTCTTTGTTGCTTAAGATCTACAAATTCAGTAAACTCATTATGTAGCATCTATGGACCTTCTTTTTAATAGGATTTAACATCCTAAAATGTGTTGCTTGTTCTTGTAGATACATGGGCACAATTGTAGGTATCAGTGATTATGATCCTGTAAGATGGCCTAATTCAAGGTGGCGAAACCTGCAAGTGAGTCAGCTTTTGCTCATACATGTACAATAAAAAGATCAATGTTGATGATCGAAAATTATTGACTTCTCCTTTTGCGCTAATTTTGTGTTTCCAGGTGGAATGGGATGAACATGGTTATGGAGAACGACCTGATAGGGTCAGCTTATGGGAAATTGAAACCCCAGAAAGTCTTTTTGCATTTCCTAATGTAACTTCAAGTTTAAAAAGACAATGTCTTCCTGGATATGTAGGTGAGTATTTTCATATTGCTTGGAAGATAACTCTTTGTGGCTTTTCTTGTTTGTAACCGTCAGTGACAAAAAAAACTGCTATCACATTGATTTCTTATGTGACTTTCTAATCGTAGCACAGGTGGGAACCAAAGATTGATGTAGAACTTGTTTGTGAAATTTTATTCTCATTGCAAAAAAAATTTCTCCTTGAGATATATAATGTGATATATCCTGCCCATATTTTGGTTCCTAGGAATTTTATCTTGTTTAATAATGAACTAAAATTTTTGTCAAATATTTTATTTGAAAATGCAGCACAATATAACTTTTCCTTTTTCTGTGGACACCTGACTAGAAATACCAGGAAGCCTTAGCCCTAAGATTTACTGGAATATAAGATACCAGTCTGATGTATGCTGTGGAAATGTTTCCATTTAGTTATGTTCCTAATTTTCCTACATTTGCTATAATACCATTTCAACAATCATTTTATCATGAAGTGTAATTTATTTGAACCAGTGCCATTCTGGTTAGCAAAGATTCTGACAATGTCAAAGTGTGGTTGTTATCAAGCAAAATGCACTCCACTAAAATTTCATTAACCAACCAAAGTTAGATTCAATAGCTAATGATAAAGTCAACAAAATAAAAGGTATGTATGTGCTTTGAGGATTGGTTTGACAGTAGCCTAAACTTATATTATAATTACAGCAGTCAGTAGACCATGACCTCAAGGGGACAGCTGCAAATAAGTATTGTTTCCGAGTGTGCATGTGCAAATTAATGCTTTGAAGGGTCAGATTTGTGATTCTTTTCATAATGTCATACACTTTGGATTGTAAAATCTTGATTATATTGCTTATGTGTTGCAGGTCCTGCAATAAACAATCATTTTGTAAATTTGAAACCATTTCCAAAGCCAACTGAAGATGGCAATGTCGACACACAGCACTTCTTCGCCGGCCTTGGGTCAGAAAATCTTTTAAGGCTTCTTAACAAGCCTTGTAATCCTAATCGTGATGGCCTGCTTGCACATCACCAGTCCATATATGCCAGTATTTTGCAGAATGTTAGAAATAGTGAACTCTCAAGAAGCTTCTCAGTAACTATGCCACCACTGCATACAGTGGGAAGTTCTACTCAGCAGGAAGTAGTCACCACAGCAGCAATGCAGCAGAAACAACATTTCTCTCCACAACAAGGTATGGATCCTTTGCAAAATGTTGTATCACAAGAACATAGGCTTTATTTGGTGCCCACCCAGGGCATTAAATTAGATTTCGTATCAGGGACACAAGTGAAGTCCCAAGTATCAGATCGTGAGGAAGCACGTCCAGCAGAGCATGAACAAAATTTTCAAGATCATAATACACGAGGTGAGAATGGAATCAACCTACAGGGGAGTGAAGATGCATCATTGCAAGAATCCATTCCTCAGCAGTCAGAGGTGGCTTCTGTGGCATTTCCTGGAGATTTGGATAGTCAATCGGATGGTATGATCAAAACACTTTCCCATGACATGCTGGCAGAACACATGGACCAATTGTCAAAACATCAAAATGGTGAATCTACAAGTACAGGCCCATTTGATCGTGTGAATCTTGCAGCTCAGATATCTGCCAATCCAGCCCTACAAGTGAAGGAACAGAGTGATCACAAACTTGTTCAGCAGCAGAATGATCCATCTAGAACACAGTCTCCTGGGTTACATGCAGCACAATCATCGGACATGTGTAATCTAAATTACTTACTTCCACATCAGGACTGCTCGCATCCTATCTTGGATAATGATGATTGGATGACGCAGCATTCATGCCTTCAATCCTTTATGGGTTCATCAAAGACTCCAGAATTTCCCTATATTAACAGTAAGCTGGATTCCTTTTATCTCTCTGCAGCCGAAAATGCTACAACTTCCTCTGCAGATATATCTTCTATGGCAAATCCCAACAGTTTTGAGCCCACAGAGACATTTCAGCTCTCTTGCATTTCGGATTCAGGAACACCCCAGCGCATCACAACAGATATTCAAGAATTTTTAGGCACACAATTAAACTCGCTAGATGATGAGCTGCTTGTCCAAGGCATCCTTTCATCTGAGGTTCACAACTTAGATGTTCAAGGAGACTGCACTGTGTTGCAGGGTGTATCTAACCCATATGGGGTAATGGACTTGTCCGAGGAGAGCAACAACCAGGGTGAGACAATTAGCAATCTCCGTTTCGACCCTAGCAATGAAAGCATGGATATGGGCCATGTTCCAGGTGTGGCCATAGACGGCCTCAGTCCAATAGGATCTTCCAGGTTTCAAATTCCTTCAGTGATGCCTGTTTGTAATTTCACTTCAAATCAGGAATCAATGTCTCACATTACTTCAAAAAGAATGACAGACTCAGTATTCTCGCTACAAGATGTCCATGACAGCTCTGCAGGTACATCATCTGCCAGCATAGCTACAAATGATTACAGCTTATACCGAGGTTCCAGGAAGCCAGCATGTCAACAACCTTTAAGAACATACACTAAGGTGGAATACTAGTTTCGAATATTGGAACTACTTCAAGAATAAACAAAGTAAATTATCTTTTTTACTAATAAGTGATGCCATCTATGTTGAACAGGTTCAAAAAGTAGGATCTGTTGGAAGATCAATTGATGTAACACGCTTTAGCAATTATTGTGAATTGAGATCTGCAGTTGCCTGCATGTTTGGATTAGAGGGACAACTGGATGATCCACGAGGTTCAGAATGGAAGCTTGTTTATGTAGATTATGAAAATGATGTTCTTCTGGTTGGGGATGATCCATGGGAGTAAGTGTCAACTTTCCTTTCCCTTCTTCATGCAATTGCTTAGATTCATTAATATCCCAATAAGCCCAATAAGATTCATCTTTTCTGAAATATGTTTTAATAATATTATTTTTCTTCAGGTCTTTGTAATTTGTATATAAAGGTGTTTTGGCCTTTCACTATAGACCTTTTTCTCATCATTTGTGCACCTATTTTATCTAAATTTAGTATTGTGGTGCAAACCCACAATTAAGGAAATTTGAGAGTACCATCATGTGGATCATAGAGCTTTAGGTTTCAAATGTTTACTCGGGATATCTTTCTTCCCAGACAAATTTGACTGAGCTACCCTACCCACATTGGCTTATAGATTTACTTAGAGTTATGTTTTGTCTTTGGATTCCTTTCCATGTTAAGAGTAAATAAGGACATAGAGCCATGTCAAATTTTGTACCTTAAGGATCCTCGTTTACAAAAATTTCGCATACCAATTCAAGAATATTGTCCTGATTACTGAATGACCGATGCAAGTTTGACTATTCAATTTAGTTGCTTTTGTTGCACCAAGTCATGCATGCTTCTTGGATGGTTAAGTTGCAAGAATGAACTAGTCTTCCTCCCTGAGCTATGAAGCTGGGGAGTCATGGTTGATTGCATGATTTCAGCAAAAACAGAAAGGAAATTTCCTGTCTAGTCATGGTCGATAGCATCCTAACCATCTTGGTTGTCCTCTGACGGGATAAAGGTCCTCTCCAGGTCGCTGAACTCTGATAAGTGCAGCTTTGTGCCAGAGATGCATGGCTTGTGGTGTCTGCTTTTGCTGGGATGGCCCCAAGAATCCTTCTTGTGCTCTAACCACCAAGAAAGGAAGAAAATACTGGAATTGGAGAAAATTATAATGGCATCTTTAGGATACATAGACATAATGGTTCCTTGCACATCTTTAGTCCATTGCCATTATAATTTTCTACTTCCTCTCTCTCTGTCTCTCTCTCTCTTAACATAGTTATTGATAGTGTTCTTTGGACAGCCATTTTATACCACAATTTGAGTATCTTGATATCGTTGCCGAGAAATGTTTTTGTTGTGTGTTCAGTTTACATATAATCATAGTTTCTTAAGTATATTTCAAGCATCATTTTGTATAGTCTATCTGCCAAAGCCAATCTGAAAACAATAATCTCATTGGGGTTTTTAATCGGTTGACCGTCAAGTCTATCATGGCTCCATGTCTTGTTCATAAAATATCCACCCAAGGAATGATTTAGTTCAAGCTATATCATGTCTCTCTAATTGCTAACAGTTGATTGCTTCTCTGCACCCGTAGGGAGTTCATAAGCTGTGTCAAATGCATCAGAATTCTATCACCTTCTGAAGTGCAGCAGATGAGCCAGGAAGGCATGCAACTGATGGATGGTTTTGCATGAACCATCAAGTAGAAGCACAGACATCTCTCAAGACATTGCTCGCGATGACCATGCAGCTCGGAGAATGAAGCAAAGACATCTAATGTTTCCCAATGAACTATTTGTATTTTTTTCTCTCGCGTCCATCTTGTATATTATTTGCTCTTTTTCGTTCAAGTGAGAAAAGGTTGTGCTTTTTGGAAAGCTTCATGTAATGAAGCATTTATCTCGCGATCACTTGAAGCCCATAAATGATGGCTATTGTATGGAATGTAAAACCTAAACGGTTTAATTGGTGTGGGTTTTAGTGTAGCAGTGGTTCCCTACTGTTATTTCTTTCCAAAGAAAAGAAAGGATGTCACTAAATGGAACAATGCTGTCATGTATGAATGTTCATGTATCCATTCCCATGTTTGCTTCAAAATTGGTGTTTCTGGATGTTACCAACTCCTACAGCTATCTGCCCTTTGACATGTCTACAGCATATGAAGTTGAGCTACAGTCTTCTAAATCCAGCAAAATGGTTAATCAATGATTAACCAATGATTGATACACAAGCTGAATTGAAGACAATGCAGTACAGATTTACTGCTGTGAGCATAGAATAGTTACTTCTTTCTTTGCATCACCTTCCTAATGAACGTAATTAGTGACTTTACACACATAATTAGTCCCATGTTTCACTTATTTGGAATACAGTAAACGAGCAAACCTGTTTGATGAAATGACCGGCCGACATGAAGAACTCGAGCGCCTCGATGGTGCGGCTCGTCTGCCCCAGCGACGGGGCGCCGCCCTCGTCCAATGCGTTGATCGCGTGCACCAGATCGAACACCGAGTCGTTGGAAGGGAAATCTCTGAGCCGGCGAGAGGCGCAGCGGGGAGAGGCCCCGAGCCGCCACGAACTCTTGCTTCAGCTTTCGGCCTATCTCGAGGTGACGTTCCTGACGGCCACCCGAGTGGCGCGGTTAGCAGCTCCACCTCCGACATCAAACCCGATCTGGACCCCACCATCGCCCAGACAGAGGTAAGCGTGAAAAGGTTATGTATAAAGTTTGAGTGTCTTCTCTCTTCCAACAAAAATAATGTGTAAAGTTTGGTTGGATTCACATAGAAAATAAAAAAAAAATTTAAGTGGGCATAAATGAGAAAAAAAAAGCTTGCAAGAGAAATTACATCAATTACTTTCTCACGTCCAAGATTTTATGATAAATTATTATTTATATATATATATATATTTATGAGATATTTAATGCACGAGTAATCAATCTTCTTTTGAGGATTTTATTTGAGTTCGTGGGATTACGAGGCCGATTGCGTGGGCCATATGACTGGGCTTAAGCCCACATAACACCGCTACTTTCTATGAAGTCGATTGTCCACTGTTCGTTCTATCACGCCCATTACCTTCGAGCAAACACAATCCCATGCTCCAGCTTTCCACCCCGCAGCGCCTAATCAAGGCGGGCCTCACCGCTCCCTCCGTCCGCTCCTTTAATCTCCTCCTCTCCTTCCTCCTCTTCGAAGCTCGCAAGCCCCGCCTCGTCCTCTGTCTCTTCTCCCAAATCACCTCCAACTCGCTCCCCGTGGACCCCCGCACCCACTCCCTCGTCGCCCGCGCCCTCGTTCGATCCCGCCGCTTCCACGACGCCGGTCGCTTCATCTCCCGCGCTCCTCTAGACTTCGGTTTCAGGAGATCCCTTGTCGAGTCCCTCATCCGTCGTCTCTGCGTCGCCGAACGAAATCCGGACGGAGCCCTCAGTCTCCTGCAAGAGTGCGTCCGGAACCGTGGCGTCTTCCCCTCCCTCGGCTCCTTCCGCTCGGTGGTTGCGGCATTCTGTTCTCTGGGTAGGTTGGATAGAGCAGTCGAGGTGTTGGAGGCCGCAGCTGATAAGAAAGACCGTATCTTGACCGACAATTTCGTTTGTAGTTCCATTATCTCCGGGTTCTCGAGGATCGGGGAGCCGGCGCTTGGTCTGGAGTTTTACGAAAGAGCAAGGAAAGTCGATGGCTTTCTGCCTAATCTCGTCACCGTTACGACTGTGGTCGATGCACTGTGCAGAGAAGGTAGAATCGACGAGGCCTGCGATCTGGTTCGGAATATGGAAGACCAGGGAATGGCGCTCGATGCCGTTCTGTATAGCTGCTTGATTGATGGGTATCTGAAGAGAGGTGACCTGATGGAAGGTCTTCGGAAGCACAAACTCATGGTGGACAAGGGAATTACTCCAGATGTAGTTAGCCATACTAGCATCATTGATGGGTTGTGTAAAGAAGGAAATGTAGAGAAAGTGATTGGTTTTCTGGAGGAAATGGAGAGCAAAGGTGTGCATGCCAATGTGGTGACTTTCACAGCTGTAATTCGTGGTTTCTGCAGGAGGAACAAGTTGGAGGAAGCATTTCATGCCTTGAGGAAAGTGGAAGAGTTGGGTTTTGTTGCGGATGAGTTTGCATATTCTGTATTGATTGATGGATTATGTAGGAAGGGAGATTTGGATAGAGTTTTTAGTTTGCTTGAGGAATTGGAGAAGAAAGAGATTAAAGTAGGAACCGTGACATATAACACATTGATCAATTCCCTATGTAAAGCTGGCCAAGTAAGCAAGGCAAATGAGATCTCAAAGGGCTTTGCTGGTGATAATTTCACCTACGCGACATTGTTACATGGATACCTGAAGGAAATGGATGTGGCAGGCATCTTGGAGGTCAAGAGGAGATTGGATGAATCTGGCATTGTTCCTGACATCGTTACTTGCAATGTTCTTATCAAGGCTCTGTTTATGGCAGGTATGATTCAAGATGGTTGTAAGCTGTTTGATGAATTACCTGAGATGGGCTTGTCTGCAAATTCAATTACTTATTGTACTGTGATTGATGGCTACTGTAAGGTAGGATTGATTGAAAAGGCACTTATGGTGTTTGACGAGTGTCGGAGAGATTCATTATTTGCTAGTGCTTCTACCCATAATTGTATTATCAGAGGACTATGCAGACAAAACATGTCAGAAATAGCTATGGAAGTTTTTGAAGACCTTGTTGAGAGAAACCTATCCCCTGATTTAATTACTTGTAGGATGCTAATTCGAGCTATTTTTGGAAAAGGTGATGGTGAAGCAGTGTTGAGATTTATTCACAGAACGGAGAAATTAGAACCTGAGCTTCTCGTTTTGATATGCAATGAGGCTATTGTATTTTTATGCACAAAGGGATGTTTTTCGGCTGCATTGGATGTATATATTCTGTTGAGAATTAGATTCCTGGCAGTTATGAGCAAATCATACAATGTACTTCTGAAAAGCCTTTTACGAATTGGAGATAAACAAATCGCTGAACTTGTAATAAGTGAATTCATCAAGATATATGGAACTTTTGAACCTCAGATGACAAATGCTATGTTCCTTTACCTTAGCAAGAAAAATGTGGAGAAAGCTATTCGTTTTCTAAATATTAAGTGTATTTCAGTCGGTGCCTTGACCACGGTCATTGACACTCTTAATAAGGAAGGCAGAGTTGAAGATGCTTACCAGTTTTTATTGCAATCTGAAGAAAATGGAGTTCCTGTGGATGTATTTGTTTACTCTCTTGTGGTGGATGGACTTTGCAAGTCGGGTTATCTCGAAAGAGCTCTAGATCTCTGTGGAAGCATGAAAAAGAAAGGGATATACCCTAATGTTGTCATCTACAATTCTGTAATCAATTGTTTGTGCCAGCAAGGGTGCCTAACTGAAGCATTCAGAGTCTTTGATTCTTTGGAGAACCTTTCTGTGCCTCCTACAGTTGTTACTTATTCTACTCTTATAGGTGCATTATCTAGAGAAGGTTTCCTGGATGATGCAAGCCAATTATTTAAAAGGATGATCAGCAAGGGTATTATCCCAAATACACCAGTTTTTAACAAACTGATAACTGGGTATTGCAACTGCGGATTGGTTGAAGAAGCCTTGGATCTCCTCTCAGATTTGGAAAAGAATTGTTTGAGTCCAGATGATTATACAATTGCTGCGATCCTAAATGGGTTTTGTCAAAGAGGCGACATTGAAGGTGCCCTAGGTTTCTTTACTGAAAACAAAACCAGAGGATGCTTTCCAGATTTCTTGGGTTTCATGAATCTCGTTGAGGGACTCTTTGCAAAAGGAAGGATGGAGGAAGCAAGGAGCATTTTAAGGGTTATGCTGCAGCGTGCAGAAATTGTAGATCTGATAAATAATGCTGGAGATGAGCTTCATGTAGAGTCCTTAGATAGTCTCCTATCTCTTGCATGTGAGCAAGGAAGAATCAAGGAAGTCATACTTGTTCTAAATGAAATTAGTTATTTGTCTATATCTTCCCCAAGGTCTGACAGTGGTAGAGTGTTTCTGAAACTAAAGGAGCTGCACGGTTCAGGTGTTGTAGATACAGAAAACAAGATAGATGGAAGAGATGATGCTCATCATCTGCTGTCTGCAGATGTTCATGGGACTAATATGAAGGATGGATTTAGAGAGAAGGTGGATGGAGATGGTAACAAGGAGATTAATGAATATTTGATGGGAAAACCACCAGGCTATGACTTTGCAACCTACTATTCCATCATTTCATTGTTGTGTCAACAAGGGGACCTACAGAAGGCTAATGAAGCAGCCAGAACAATTCTTCAAAATCCAGAGAAAGTCTTCAATCCGTCCATCCCAACTCTTTGAAGAGTAAAGAGTTTTGTAAGGGACTGGATAATGTTTGAACTTACTGGTATTGTAAGCTGAAACTATATATTAAAAGAGGTTCAAATCAGGTTTTTGCAACTCTTTGAGTAGAGAGTTTTCTAAGAGATTGAGAGAATTTATCAAGTATAGTGTCAATAACTGTTTGTAAAATATCCTGTTGTAAATCTCATATGACACAGTGATCATCCTTTTCTGTTGACATAACACTTTATCGTATAATGCTCATTTTACATAACTGTAATGTCTGCTAGATGTATGCTCATTTACCTCACATTTTTTTTGTTTGTTTATTCACTTGTTGAATTGAAGAAAATATTCAGCTTGCTATTATTTGTAGGTGCAAGAAAGGTGTTAAATTCTGAGCTTTGGCATGCCTTTCCTGCACTATTTTCCACAGGGACACAGTGAACAGGTTCTTATCTTTCTGATATTCTCATATACTGTGGATACATCTTTGTATTATTTTTCCTAAAGATAACCTAGCTCAGAATCTTTGGCAGGAAAATGATATTTAAAATTTTGAACAAGTTTTTGTTAAGACGTAAGATTTTTTTTTTTTTTTTTTTTTACAAGGGATAAGTGTGATAATATGTCATGGTCTATATCATCCAAACTAGTCAGCACCTTCCAAGATGAAAATCTCGATAGAATGATTCTTCTAATCTATAAAAAGTTTCAAAATTTTTATTCCTATTATGATTGGAATACTATTAGATTACATATCCTCATTAGGATTAAATGCAACTCACATTTAGACATTACATATCCATATATTAGCAACCCCAGAATTAGACTTACGGCCATAGAAGAATTAGCCAAGTGCAATTGTTTGTAGCCTTTGGTGGGAGCATTTTAAAGACTTCATTCTATTAATTCGATAGCTCTACTATATTTAATGGGACCCAACTGATACAGATACTAATCAAAGAATATGGAGCTCGGATATAGATTCTCCACTCATGGGAATGACAACTTCACAAAGCAGAACAAGTGGGTCCCAGTGATCTTGTGGGAGGAGTCACCTATTGTTTCTTTGTGTTAATTAATACTATATATTTTTTACTTAGGTTCCAGAGGGTTATTCACAACCTCTTGAACACCATCATCTCCTTTGGAAGATCTCTCCCCTATGGTAATTGCTAAGCACCTTTCCATTGTAACTCCTATGGCCTCCTCCTCCCCCCTACTTATTGTCATCACTGGTGCCTTCGCCCAATTGATCTACTCAAGTGACATGGAGAGTAGGTTATTATTCTCATCATCCATGACTCCTCTCAAGTTACTCGTATCTAACGATGACGAGGGGCATAACCTACTAAATATCCATAGTTGATATATGGGTTATAAGATTTACCAGTTATATAATATGTTTGATATTGTTTGACTGTGGCCCATACTTAACTCAAGTTTTTATTTTTGCCCATTTGAACTTATCAATAATTTGTTACTTTCACACTTATGAAATTTAAAATTTCTAAGAAAATTTTAACAAGGCATATCCGCAACAGCATAATCATAGGAAGTCCTTGGGAAATTATTTTTTGAACCCTCATAATGTCTTAAAAACCAGCACCTGTTACTTTCCAATTTTTCGTATAAGAATAGAACAGATAAACTTTGAACGGACCAAGAAAATTATCCTTTAAGAATTTCAGAGAACAACTCTATATATTTTATGAACCTGGACACTGGCTATGAGAAATCTACACTATATATCTTCTTTGATCTTGTAGGATACAACAATTAAAGCAATGAAAGAACAATCATTCAATAATTTCCAAGTTTCTAGGTTTTGAAAAGCCAATACCAAGATCATATTGTAATATAATTACAATCAGAAACATATTTTCTTAATGTTCTGCCATTTTACCTGATAAACAAAACAGAATCACCGGCTTTAAGCTTTTTTGCACCCACAAACAGACTCCATCCAGTGGTCAAAATAGTCTCTTCGGCTGTCCTGGAAAGAAGAGGAAAGCACTCTGTTACTCACAACATTTGTATCGATATAAATAAATGCAACATGGTGGAACTCTATATTGGCAGAAAATGCTTATTTGTGAGCACAAGAGTATGGGACATAACAATGCAGGATATCCCTGCTTAAACCATTTGTTGAATTTCCAGGAAATCATCTAAGATGAGAAAGTTGGAATTAGCTAGCAAGTAAGTATAAACATCTTATCCACCTAGTAAAAGTTGGAATTTACTAGGTCTTATCCACCTAGTAAACATCTTCTCTCAACTCCCAAGTATTGGAGAACAATATTGGGAACCAAAATGAGTGGTAATCGAATTCTCCCACAAGAAAAGAGAAGCCTCATTATAACTAACAAGATTAACTTGCACACAGACGTAGAATTACAATATGTTGGACTCAATCTCCAAAATCTAAGGGAAAAACATCAATTCGCAAGGAAACTAGCATGTCTTTTATAAAGCAACATAAAAGCTGTCTAGGCAAGATCAATGATTATTAGGAGAGAAATCGGATTCCCAGAAACGGAAACATCAGTATCAAAATATGTAATTCAGCGAAGCAATATGAAAGTCTTCCACAAGTTGCTGGCAGCTGGGTCATCTGAGCATACATTTCATCTGTCCCCTTGTCAGCCTGGGAAAATGTGCCAATCAATTGAGAAGGGAGATCTGTGTAGGCAGGAATCCAGAAGATAATTAACAAACCAAAAAATGAAAAGATTTAAATTTTTGCAACAATAACTAGATCAGTATCTTTTTCTGGCTCAGAAATGATGGCGTAAAGCAAACTAGACAACGTCGACCATCCCATAAATCACAAAATAGCCAAATCTATCCAATAAAAAATAGTATGGATATGTAATGTCTAAATGTGAGTTGCATTTAATCCTGCATAGCATAGCATATGTGATTATCAATGGCGTTCCGATCATAATAGGAATCAAAGTTTTGAAACTTTTAACAAGCAGAAGAATCAAAGTTTTGGGAGGGAGCCACGAGGTGGAAGGAGATGAGAAGCCCCCGGAGGCGCGAGGACGTCCCAAGAATTGGACACGTAGGAGATGGACTTGCAGATGGTGCATCGCACGGACGACGCCCCCGGCGGGAGCTGCAGCGGGGTGTGGCAGTGGGAACAATCAATCAGCATCATCGTCAGACGGATCTGATCGAGAAGGCAGAGGCTCCGATGGCCCGTCGGCGGAGAAGATGGGAATGGACGAGACGGAGGAGGGAGGAGGGAGGAGCAGAAGAAACAGACGAAACGGACTGGCAGAGTTGACGTGGATTGGCTTTCTGTTTCTTATTTGCGGGTAAATTCAAACACCCGCCGCCTTCGTCCTGTTCAAAAACATACGGCCCAGATATGGGGATGAGTGTCCTGAGGAGATGTAATCAAGAACTAAAAACATGTAGTCGAATAAATAAATTAATTAAATTATAAATTACAGAAGCTGCACATATTATTTTCATAGGAGTTCAACTTTCCATCGTTTATATTTTTCGAAAAAGTATAATTTACTTTTACGATATTTTTTTAAAAAAACTTTTTTTATTTTTTTCTCGAAAGATATTTATTTTTTTATGATATCCTCTTTTGTAATCTCATAAATGTCCTTTATCAATATCTATCGCTTGTCGCTTTCACTCATGTAATCGTAATATGTTATTCACCCATACGAATGACATCACATATAGCAGAACAAGTGGGTCCCCAGTAATCTTATAAGAGGAGGCACCTATTGTTTGTGTTAATTAATATTATATTTTTTTACTTAAGTTCCGGAGGGTTGTTCACACCCCCTTGAGCATGTCACCTCCTCTATGATGGAATATCTCTCCCTCATGGTCGTTGCTAAGCACCTTTCCGTCATAGCTCGTCATGACCTCCTCTTTCCTCCTACTTGTCGACATCACTCACGCCCTTGCCCAATCAACTAGCAACAGTTAGGTGTATTCTATCCACTCAGGTGACATGGAGGGTAGGTTGTTGCTCTCATCATCCATGCCTCTTCTCAAGTTGGTCTTCTCTTCTGATCTAGTGACAATGAGGAGCGTAATCCATGAAGTGGAAGTATGCAATGATAAAGCCCAAGAAGAAGAAGTCTATCACCATCCCTGCCTAGTTCACAACCAGTGTGGTGGAGGCAATGAAGTCTGTCACCATCACAATCTAGAGCATCCTCTAAGATGTTGTGGATGAAAGGGGATCGACTCAAGGTGGGGTTGTCTGCACCTTCTCTTTTGAACTATTAAAACTTTCGATGCATCTTGTCCAAGTGCTAGTCCATCTGTCGTAGTTGTGCCCTTAGAGAGTTGCTTATTGAATCTAGTGATTGGGTCTCCAATTCAGGTGAGGTCGAGCCTTAGTGTGGCAACGCGCTGAACTCCACTATAGGGAAGCGGGGTGCCCTTGTTGGCATTTTGGGTGGTCAGGGGCAATCCTGAGCTATCGGTGCTGGGTCGGTCGAGGGAACCCCGACGGGTGCTGGTGCTAGTAGTGGTTAAGATATCAGTTGTAATTATGACAACATCATAGTATGTTAGGCCAACTGGGGTAGAGGCAGTGCGATAGCCTTCATCATTCTTGGGAGAACCTGCACCCGATGTGTGAGGCTCAAGAATGCTTCAGCGAGGACAACTAAGTGCCTCACATTCATCTCCGAAGGTAAAAGTTTTGGATCATTGAACAAGCACTAGTCACACCCCAGTGTCTGAGTGGAGGTGGATGCATCCATCCGAGGAAAGGAGAATAGTTGTCGGTCTTGTGTGAAGGTATTATGGGTTAGGTGTAGGGCTTCCTCACTAGAGTGATGTTGAGAGAGTTCACGTGCGGACATTCCTACGACATTAAGGTCCTCCCTCTAGCACCAAAATGTTGTGGAGAGAGTACCATCGACAGTGAGTCGTCATGGTTTGGTCTTGACCCAAAGACACGAGGTCATCCAAGGAATCCTCGTGGCAATCCTACGAGGTCATTGATGAGGCACCAAGGTATTCAAGGTGGCTCCGAAGTGATCTTTAGGTGGCTTCCGAGTGCCTAAGGTAGTCTCGAGGTTGGGCAAAGGTGGAATCCAACTACTCGATGGGCTCCTGCACAAAGGACAACGTCAAAAAGAGTTTCTCGACCCGATTCCTCCAATGCCTAAGTTAGCTTTTGAGTGGCATATGGTGTAAATAAAGTTTTATTTGGAGAGAAGTCCAATCCCGGGCCAGCATCGAGGGTTGACTTTTATACTTAACTGATAAAGAGAATTTTCTATAACAACTTCAACGCCTCTCCTTTAGTGTCTTATTCACGGGGATGACAAATAACCTCTCATGACATATTTGAATGGTTTCCCGTAAACTATTGTCCACAAGGCTAACTCGAATGACCTCCCCTGGATTGTAATTCATGGGGGCCGACAAATTGTAACCACCTCTACGTTATTACCTCGTGGAGGGCTTTTTCGACTCTTTTATGGTGTCCAGTTAAAAATATTCCC